ATGATTCCAATGATTCCAATGATTCCAATGATTCCAATGATTCCAATATTATTCCAATTATTCCAATTATTCCAATTATTCCTTATCACACATTGCTTTCGGTTTCCTCTAGCTGGAGGAATTTACAACCTTCGTAACGTGACATTTATCGCGGGTTTAACGCGCGGTACCCGATGTCCACCCCCCAATCGTTACGATGATAACGAGGCGAGTACACACGTGATAACGAGCATAACGAGGATTATACACGAACGATAAAGTCCGATCGGCTTTGTTTCAGATCATTCAGTTTTCTATTTAATCCGATACCAGAGATCAGCTGTTTACATAATTCGAGTAATGAAGGGATAAGAGTAAATAAATGGCCAGACGGATTTCAGTAAATTAAATAATCTCAAGTCAATGCCCCAGGTCTAATCCTAATCCCCGAAGAACACCCTAAGTCCTTTTCACTCAAGGATCGACCAAATGTTACTCTCAGTGGAAATGAAGAATAGAAAAAATATGAAAAATGGATGTAATATATTTTTTTTTCCAGGCGTCGATTACATGCATCCGGATCTGAAGTACAATTACGTAAGTCTGAGATTAATTGTTTGGAGTTATGATATAAAATTTTGGTAGTTATGGGGGAAAAATATATGTCGCCCCCTGAATTTATTCGGAATGCTCGGGGAATTGGTAACTTGAGTTATCGGTGAGCAATTTGACGCTAATTTTTCGACGTCTCTTGAGGATTAATGGAGAACCGAAAAAACTTGGGGGAGACTTACACGAGCATTCCCTATTGCGTCGCCAATCTATGACCCCTGATCTTTGCTGAGTAAATTCCCGGGAATTTATTCTCCCGTTTTTTATGTCAACAGAATGCCCAGGCGTCGTACGACTTCAGTTCCAACGATCCCTACCCTTACCCGAGATATACAGATGACTGGTTCAATAGGTGAGTTGTAAAAATTCAATTTGAGAATTCTGGGGGAATTCTCTGAGAATTCCCTAGTTTACCACGAATTTATCTCTAAAAATCTGCAGCTGGCATTAATTTTTTGGTGAAAAATTCAGTAGAAGTGAAGAAAAAAAAAGAAGATAAATATTTGTTTTGCGTAATTGAGGTAAATTCAGGTCACGTGTGCGTGAAAAAGAGTTTTCCTCCCGAAGCCAATGAGCGGCGAAGTCGAGAAAAATGTGATATAACCGTGTGGTGATTGTGAGATGAAAAATAAAATTGAATCACGTGTTTCTAGGGCGATCGTTCAAATTTATTCCTACGGAGGTAGAATTACGTGGCTATCCACTCTTATTTGCAGATTTCTATGAAGATTTACACAAACAATATTTCAAATGATTATGATTATCGGAATATTTTCCCCATGAAATAATTCCCAGTAAATCACCCGAAGTGATGAATTAATTCCACCGAGTTAAAATACGTTTTTAAATTCCAACTCTCGTGATAACGTCAGGAATTCTTCGGTTCTATCGGAAATTTATTCGATGAATACACGAGTGGCAATAACGTCCGCCTGATGTTCTCTACAGGCATCAACTCGACAATTTTTTCGACAGAATGCGACTGCCGGAAGAATTTCGCGTGATTTATCATTTCGAATGCAAAGAAAATCGCATGACTGGATGAATTCTACGGAAATTTCGGGAAAATCTATATTTAATGATAGAATTCACCATCGGCTCGGATCAAACGATTTTTTATTGAAGCGTAAAAGGCCGCCATGAAGTGCCCGAGTAACCTTTTCTCCCAATGGAATCGCGATGAGCATTGAGGTGCCATTAAATTTCTATCACTCCTTCATAAGGTTGAAGGTTTTTTTTTTATCACTCCACACCGCCGTAAAGACGACTACCAAGTGACAGTTTCGTAACGTCGAATCTGCCGTTAAAATCTCGTCCTATCTTCTGAATGAGAACTTCATTTTCCGGGGGTTAACAATTCCATGGAATTACGAAAAATCTCAAAAAATTCGGTAGAAAAAATTCGCATTTTCCCCACGGAAATCCTTTTTTTTCCGACGCTCCAGTAATTAATGAATTATCCGGTATTCCTCTGTCTCTTTATGGAAGACTCATTTCACCTCTCGGGGTAATGAGATTTCTGTGTGTGACACGTTGACATTACCGATATCTCATCGACCCTCAATCGACGAAGAAAATTAAAGAAAAGGAAAAATCGTGGAAAAATAATACAAACCGGTGGGCGTGAATTGATGTCTCGTCTCCTCTCAGAGAAACTGCGCCATCACATCACCTCCACTTATAAAATAATTCAATAGAAAAACCTAGAGCTTTTTCTAAAACAAATACGCCCTGTATTCATCAATTTTTTCCATCAATACCCGATAAAATTATTAATTCTGATGATTCGAGATCAAACATTCAACGAAGTTCATCTCATTTCTGTTAATTAATGATATTCAATGCCAATCTGTCAATCCGATTAATTATCTTGATTAATCAAAGCACTTGTGATGTTCTCCGGACTGTTTATTGTCCCGAGTGAATCATCTCTCATTACCTGAAAACTAGCGAAGTTAGTCGCTGATTATATTTCCAACAAACTCCGTACCTTCACCGCCGGATAATTTTCTCCGTCCGGATGAAAGACAGGACACTGAATGAATTTTCCATCAGGCTGACGCGAACGAGATAACACCCACCGCCTTTCAAAATATTAAATCGAAAAAAAAGGATATCGAGGGAAAATTGATACACCATCGGAAAAATATCCCCGAGAGAAAAAATATCGAGAAAAAATATCGAGGAAAATGGGGAATTGCATAAACACTAAAATTTGTAAAGGACCAATTAATCGATGGATTAAATTAATTGATGAATTCTGGATTGATAAAATAATTTGAAAAATGATGGGAATTTTTCCGCGTGAAGGAGATAGCGCAAGGGTTTTCCTTAATTGATGAAAAATTATGGTTCCCTACCCCTGGAGATCCAGATGCTCCCCTACCCGAAAAAATCTCGACGTGATTCTCCCGGGAAATTCAGTCTCATGTTCCCGACGGATAAAACTGGAGTGAGAGAGAGAGGAATTTTCTCAGTCTTATCCACGACAAATTCACTGACGTCAGAGCTGATTCACCCCTCCCCCTCTAACACAAATACTTCTCTCGTTTTCTGAATGCCTCCTCGAGCACGTTGATCACTCCGTTTCCAATGGATTGAACTTAATTGCTCACTGGATCCGAGTCCTCAATCAGATCTTGTCATAATTAATTGGCCGATTAGCTCCAAGTCCCGGAACTTCACGGAATTCATTCCAGTCTCGGATATAAAAAAGGAATGAATTCCCTTCATGCACATGACTACTCATGACAAATATTCGATTGTCAAAATATTCACTCAATACATGAAAAGTCCAGTGGAACTAGAAAATCGCACGGGAAAAATAGATAAATTGTCCAACGAGAATGAAAATAGACTATTGTTAGGGACCATTTCTCGTTAACAAACGAGTCCATTATTCATCTGGTAATGGAATCCTCTTGTTTTTTTTTTCAGCCATGGGACACGGTGTGCAGGAGAAGTTGCTGCTGCTCGGGATAATGGAGTCTGTGGCGTGGGTGTTGCGTATGATTCAAAAATTGCGGGCATTCGAATGCTAGATCAACCATACATGACGGATTTGATTGAAGCAAACAGTATGGGCCACGAGCCGGATCTCATAGATATATACAGCGCCTCCTGGGGACCCACCGACGACGGCAAAACCGTCGACGGTCCCAGAAATGCCACTATGAGAGCAATTGTTCGTGGAGTTAATGAAGTACGTGACAATTTCCGCGATTCTCCATCTCTCAAATGGAATTTTGCACATCCGCACGTTCTTTTTTCCATTAAATTCACAAATTGTTCATTAATTGTTAATTCATTATTGATGTTACTTCGGTTTTTCATCTCGCCTTAGTACAGGAAATGAAAGCGCCAGGAGTGGAAAATATTCAAAAGACAGTGTGGGTTGCTGGAGTGAATTTTCACAGGTTTCCTTTGATGTGTGGGTCGTAGGTTTGTTGCCAAGCAACACCATCACCTAGAATCCACGTCAGAGATGCTAAAGTCCCTGTGATCACCCCTAAATCATATGTTTATTCATGAGTACATGTCGATCGAGGGTCAAGGTCCCCGTGCTCCCTGAATAGCTAGTCATTATCATCCGGGAATAACTCGGCCATAGAATCTAAAAGTTCAGCAGACTTAGCTCAGCGGGAGATTTTAAAGATTTATCCCCTCGATGTGTGTTAACTCTAATGCAATGCATGATCTTGTCAAAGGTAGAAGGTAGACGTCAGTTTTGGCGCCAGTTGGGGCTTCATAGGATGTGGCGAGACACCCCACTGTCCACGTCCAATGTCTTCATGCATGGAAATGTAAAACCACCCACGTAAGGGATTTCAAAGTCACGGAGATGATTTATCCGTGCGTCAGCAGATGTCCACATGCTCTAGTGTTTCTGAATGTTTCTGAATGTTTCTGAATGTCTCTGAATGTCTCTGAATGTCCCTGAATGTTTCTAAATGTTTCTGAATGTTTCTTAATCTTAATTCACCCAATGAATTTCAATTTTTAATATTTCACTGACTGATGAAAAATGTCTCGTCCAGTTGGGGGAAGTCCCGACGTGGGAGATTTCATTCATATTCATTCATATCAGCAAAACGATACAGTTTATCCCTCTGCAGGACCCCAGGAGTCTTCACCACCTACGCAAATCACTTGGGTTGATGCTGTGTAGATCGTCCCTCTGATTGTACCTCATTCATCCAATCCCACCTTCTTTACAGGGTCGACGGGGTCTTGGTAATATCTACGTGTGGGCATCTGGTGATGGAGGTGAGGAGGATGATTGCAATTGCGATGGTTACGCTGCCAGCATGTGGACAATCAGCATAAATAGCGCCATAAATGACGGACAAAATGCACATTACGACGAAAGTTGCTCCAGCACTTTAGCTTCGACATTCAGCAATGGAGCTAAGGATCCAAACACCGGCGTGGTAATTACTCATAATTTATCCATTCATTACCTACGATTTATCGCATTAATTATAGTCAATAATTGGTGACTAGCCAGTGGACAATTAGTAAATAATTTCTCCCGAAACTCAGAAGTTGCGAGGAAAATTGGGATGTATTAAATCTGACATTTGATCTGTCCTGTACTGTCCACTTAATTCCACTTAATTACTGATTTAATCTGTCTCTGTGCTGGGATCAATGAGGACGTAAGTCACTCCGTATTTTTTTTTTTATGTTCACCGTCTCATTCTTTTTTTATAACATGAGAAATGGGTCTAGAGACCGGTGACACAGGGGTCACGAGACACAGGGAGAGTAATAAGATCAAGGGTCGTGGGATATTCCCCTCAGGCTCTCCAGGAATATAATGTTACGGGGATGAAATTCCTCGGTGGTGAATTCTGGGAATTATTTATGAAATTTTAGGGGTTTTAGCTCTGGTTGTGAGTGATGGAGCAATCAGACAACGTCAGAGGGGTTGCAGAGAAGAATTATTATCCGTCATCGATAAAATCCTTTAATTAATTGCATAAAGAACTCATTAAAGAGATTGACTGAATGGAGCATTCCATTTATCTCCAGACTCTTCTGTGGTGTCATAAAACCAATGAATTTTCCGGTTGATGCACGTGTTCATTAAATGTTCTCTCAATTTCCCTGGGAATGGATTTAATCCGAAATTTAAAGCATTTCGCTGGTTAATTTCTAGTGGTTTTACCAAACCACCCAGCAATGCTGGATATTGTGAGGATTCAGGGACTGTAGATTCTCAAGTCAAGTGTACACTTGGGAGCGGAAACTCCACCTCTTGGGGGATTTCAACCCTGAGAATCTACGAGTACTGAGTCAATCATGAAATTTCACTCAATAGGGATTTCCATTTCTGATTCCTTTCGATATGCAGGGGATGGACTTTCCTACGATTTCTTATTCCAGGTCGATCCTTTATACCAGTGAAATGACACTTTTCCTCGACTTCTCGCAGTATTTGAGGAAAATTGAAATTTCAGGGACTGACAGGCACTGAATTCCACTCCAATGAGACCGTGATGATTTCACTGGGTGTCGATAAATAAAATTGAATTCGATCGCATTATTTGAATCCTTTGCGAATGAAGATTCAAGTCGAAATCGTCGACATTGTTGAATTTATACGGATTAATCCTTGAAGCTTGTATTTTCTCATAACAAGTTTGTGATTTTATGCAGGCAACGACCGATTTATACGGAAAATGCACTACAACTCACAGTGGAACATCCGCTGCAGCACCAGAAGCTGCAGGTGTATTTGCACTAGCTCTCGAGGCGAAGTGAGTAAAATATGAATAAATCCTCCACAAACAGTAAAATCAACGATTTTCCAAATAAAATTACTGAGATCTAGTGGCCATCGGTATAAAATGTATATTTCAACTAGTTGAGATTGAGTTTCACTCCATTAGCATATAAATTTCCTATTAAACGATTGATCGGGTCAGTGTATATTTTTCTGATATCACTGGTATATCTATTTTCATTTGAAATGCAATCCGGTATATTTTCACATCGACGTCAAAGAGAATTCCATCGGTGTTCATTTTTCATTCTCACGCGGGTGTTTCACTTTATTGTGGCATTTCCTCGACGCCCGTCGGAATAACATCCCCATATTTTATTTCCTGGCACCTCACAATGCTCCATTTGCAGTTGCAAAATGTCCACTGTCCGAAAATAAAAGCAAAAAAGAAAACCCGCTGTTGAGATCTGCAGTTAAATTAAATGAGTGGAGAATTTGAACGTTAAAATATTTTCCTCGAGTGTAAATGATCTTTGGAATGTAAATTCCAGTTGATGGTGATTTTTCCAGTCACACGTCGGACAAAATCCATTTTCTATTTATATTTCAGCCCCCAGTTGACGTGGCGTGATATCCAACACCTCACAGTCCTGACGTCCAAGCGAAATTCATTATTCGACGCCAAAGGGAGATTTCACTGGACAATGAATGGAGTTGGCCTTGAATTCAATCATCTGTTCGGTTATGGCGTACTTGATGCCGGCGCCATGGTGGCACTGGCTAAAAAATGGAAGACAGTACCGCCTAGATATCACTGTGAAGCTGGTGCTGTCATAAATAACATGTAGGTCTGCCCAAACTCCTGTAATTCCCCTGAATTCTCCGGGAAAGTTTCCGATTCAAACAGCTGTTTAATTCAAGTACCGAAATCTGAATTAAATACTCGATTAATTGAATTAACTTGAATTAATTAATCGTTGCAGCTCCATTAAATCAATTATTGTGTGGAAATAAATCCAAAAAATCATTGAATAATTCCAGGAAAATTCCCAGCGAAGGATCAATTTACCTCAGTATAAAAACAGACGCGTGCGCGGGCACAGACTATGCTGTCAATTACCTGGAGCATGTACAAGCTGTTATTTCCGTTAATGCAACACGTCGCGGTGACTTGGAGATATTCCTTACATCACCGATGGGCACGAGGTAATCGATACCATTAAAAAATCATGAATAAACATTCGTATTCCTCCAAGAAATGCATTGAGAGAATATTTTGGGTGAAATTGATGGAAAAATATTCATTTCATTAGATCAATGATTCTGAGTCGACGAGTCAATGACGACGACCATCGGGATGGCTTCACAAAATGGCCATTCATGACCACTCACACTTGGGGGGAGTATCCACAGGGGACTTGGATACTCGAGGTAATAATTACATTAAAAAATCATCGATTGCACAGAGTAATCACCATCTATCAATTTTAATTCATGATTATCCCTGCTCTTGTAGCTGAAGCAGGTGAATTTCAGTGGAACAAGTAGATTTCTTGAGAGACGCGATAGATTTATCGGTCGATCTGTCAACAAATCAAGTACTTTTCCTTTTTTTTCAAGAATTGAAGATGAAAATGATGATTAAGCTTTTCCTGAGAGATAAAGCGGTAGATTACTGGTGGATGCAGTCAGATTATGATTTTTTAATCATTCGTTAATCATTTTTTTTTCCCTCAGATTCGTTTCAACTCGCAAGCACCCCAGAAGGGTTGGATTAAAGAGTGGACTCTGATGCTCCATGGTACGAGGGAGCCACCTTACACCGGATTACCCGCAGCTGATCCACATTCAAAGCTTGCGATTGTAAAAAAAGCACACGAGGAGCGTTCGAGTGCAATGTAACGATCACCGAAATCATGAAAAATGATACAGAGAATATTTAAAAAAATGAAACAATGGACCGAAAGTCATTTCCGCGCCAAAAAAAGATATCACGACGGAGATACCAACAATCCCTTTGCGGAAGTTAAATAATTATTTTTATTTTTAGAAGGCCAGTTTTCGTTGATTACTTTTATCAATACGTTCGTGTCTTCCTCAGTGATATTAGCTTCATCAGGCACAATAATTCAAGCCTCTTGTGTCTTGTGGACAAATTCAACTCGATTTAGTTCTCGTAGTCTTTTGCGTGATTCATTAATTATTTGTTGAGGCGCACGATGACTATTACATAATTTTTTTCTAATCAGTTTTTGCAATGATCCTTATGAAAATCTAATCTTTCAATGTCTATGTAATCGCACGCGTTAGTATCTGTCTTCATAAAATCAGAAAAAGGAAAAAAAAAATTGAGATAAAATGTGCATGCAAATTTCCTCCTCCACACGTCATGTCATCTATGGAAATAATTAATAGGATAATCTAGAATTCGTTTGATTGAGCAAAATTGAGATTTATCTGTTGAAACTTTCAGCGTTTTAGGCGCCTCATTTGTATTTCGAATAATTTGAGACAGCGAATCGCACAAAAACTATCAAACACGATATCTCCCTTTGAAATGATACCAGAACAATTAGACTTAAAGACTATTCATATCGAACATTGATATAATTTATCTATTATTTATAATTTAGACATTGTGATTAAGCAGAATGAAATAAAGGATAAATATTGGGAACAAATTGCAAAGTGAAACCGTAAATTTGTATTCAATCACATCGAGGAGGAAAAGCCGTAATTTTTCTAAATTCCCCGGGATTTATTGAGTTATACGGGCCACATGGCAAATATCAGTATTAAGTGTTAATAAAATCAACTATGAGCTGTAAAACTATGTACTTGTGACCTCAGAAATTATCACCAATATTATCTAAAGCAATAAAAACACATTGATCATGGGACAGAATAGTAAAAATAATTCCCTCACACGAACTACTACTTTGTCTCATGCTCCGACTATTCTGCAAATAAAGTAATATCACTAACAAATAATTAAAACATAACAAAACGATTTTGAAAATAGGTTTTCCCAGGAATATAACACAGGAGAACATACTAACCAGATAAATCCACCTGTTACTCTTTAGTTAATTGTTAATGATATTTATCTGATTTTATTTTTAAAACAATTGATGGATTATTTTTGTTTATCATCTTCGATGCTAATTGAATATCACTTGAGGCTTTATAAAGTTCTCTCTACTCGATTGATTCATGTGAATGTGTATTTTTTTCCCATTATTTGTGTTTGAGAAGAATAATATCGAATTAGTAAACAGAAGGTTCATAAACACAAAGAAATATCGTGAGTAAAAGACGAAGAGATTAAAGTTCTAATGTAGATATTATAGTGGAGTAGTGATCGATACATTGAGATCACGTATTTAAATACATATAAATATATATGAATTATTATAGTAAAAAGTGATGAGACATGTATTTAATCAACCTTATTACCAATATTCCTTGATTTTTTCATTACGAGAAATTTTTTATTGAGTCACTCCGTTGATTTGATATTTTATCATTTTTTTGACGTTACAATAAGGTTGATTAAATCGACACTAAGACCAAAGGGAAAACTCAATGATTTAGATCATAATTAATCCCAGAATTACCATAATTTGTCGAAAAAACTGAGTGAAAAGGGGAGAAACAACCACTGACGAAGGAGAAAAAAAATTGCAAGTACCTGGCGCTGTTATTCTTCACAACCCCCCGCCCCCCGCCCCCTGTTTTTTCTGTAATAAATTATATTCCCTCCTGCATCCAATTACTCTGGGGAAGAAAAACTAAAATATATATTATACAGTAATGAGAGAATTTAATTACAGAAGTGCGTTAGATTTTAAAAAATACGTCGGCTCTGTCGCGGCTATGAAAGATAATATTTATAACAGAATGGAATATAACATGATATTAAGAGATAAGAAAAAGTCTATAATGAAAGAGTGAAATATAAACAAAATCCTTATTTGGAATATTGTCTATTGACTCTCCTTTTAAGTTTAAAAATCAACTAGAGAATTTTTTTTAAATATTGAATATTAGAGAAGAAGAAGTTTCAATTTTTGTGATTGATTGAAAAATTGAGGGATTTCGTGGGATTTTACTGCACATTTGCAAAAAATTAATATAGGAATCTCTGGAAATTGAAGCTTTTTTATCATTGGGTTTAAATAATTATTGAAAAGAGCTGGAGGGAGGAGGAAAAATGAAGGCCGAGAGGTACGAATGAGGCCGAATGAATCTGGATTCGTCGTTTCGCTTCACAAACCGACGAATTGTGATATCGATCCAGAAGAGGAGCCAGTGAAACGAGCACTAAGATCCCCTAGTTCTGCCACCAATTTACATAATTGCATCGACGTTACTGCAACCACTATCCGAAAATTTCACCTCATTCTGCCCTCCCCACGGTGCTGGGTTACCCATACAGGAGGAAAATGTGAGGAGGGAAGTTGCCACTAAAGTTCACCACAACTTCGATCCACCGAGAGTCCATAATCAAATGTTCAATGAGATATCTAGTAACTTTACCGATTTGTTAACGATCTCCATTCCGCGTTCCCAAAAAAAACTAGCACTTGCGGATGGAAATTAGTTTGAAAAAAAAATCCTAGGTCCTCTAAAGCAATAACTGATAAACTAATTAAATGTGATATTAATGGATTGAAAGGGGATTGAAAGATTGCTGGCAATTCTTATTGATTTTGAAAAATGAAAAAAATTTTAGAATGTCAATTCACGTGCAATCGCGGTGGCTTTCAATATGCAATAGGAAATTATGACAATTTGCATGCGCTCATTGCGAGCACTTCGGTTTTGACATTGGCTCTCTGTATGAATATTCATAACCAGAGGAAACACTGTGTCGGGGAAAAAATTTTACGAGCTCAGTGGCTTGTGCCAGGAGACATATTTCGAGTGCAATCACGTAAAATCCATAAAAGGATGTTATGTTATCGTGATATTCAGTGTGAAAAATTCCTCCCGGAAATTCCTTAGAAATTTTTGGAAATTTCGTGAGTGGAAATCGTAGAATTTGATGCAACAATTGCAGTTCTTCTGATATATCAATTAAAAATTCAAACTCAAAATATTGAGTTAAAAATTAAAAATTCAAACTCGAATAATTGAAAATTCATCTTAACGCCGGATCTTACGACCGAAAAAACTTGAATTAAAATTGAAAAAAACGTGATAAATCGGTAATTAAATAACTGCAACTGATTGGCAAAAAATCAGCACCCAATATCCGGTCGAGTGAATAAATATTCGACCTACATATCGTTGAAATACACCCGTTCCCAATCGTATCCCCCAAAATCGATATAATTGGCTTCACTGTATTAATCCTCTTCTCGGTCTCATGTTTCCATCGAAAACGCAAAGGCTATTGCCAATTGATTAATGCGATCTGGCTCTAAAAAATTCCCCTCCCACCCCTCCCCACGGCCTTTTAAAATTTTCACCCCCTGTCCAATAAAGCTGCCCCCTTTCAGAACACTTTGGCAGGAAAACGAGACATCGAGTCGCGACGATGCGTTTCATCCCCGGACATTTTATTCTACTTTTTTTTTTTTGCACCCAGTGCCAATTAATCCGGCGATTTTAATCGCTCCACTTCGTCGAAACGAACCGGATTTTTTAACAAGTGGCAGTTTTTCTAAAAAAAATCCAGTGGTAATTAAATGAAATTCCAATACCATCTCCATTATCGGAATTTCAGTCACAGTGATACACCAACTGCAGATGCTTCAGATTCAAATAGAATAAATTCGAATCATTCCGGAGTTTATTGGTTTAATACCCATTCAAATGCTAATATTTCTACTGTTCCGACGTAATATGAGAATTTCGATGGATACAGGGAATGGAGGAATGGCCAATATTCCAACACTGGTGGAATATTTTCACTCCTGGAATTCCGCGGCTATTTCAACGAAAAATATACATTCGAATTTGATTCCCGTTCGTCGCACCGCGAGGAATTTTTAAATTTTTATTAAAAACCGACTTCTGATTTCTGTGTTATCAATTTTTTTTTTAATCACTACAAAATAAAATGTGAACATTCCCGGAATGAAATAATAAAAACGAGAAGTGTCTCCACTCTTCCCCCGGAAATTCCTCAATTTTTAATTTTCCTTTGATTTACAATTGAAAGAAATGCATTTCACCCGATATTTTCTGCACTCTCGTCTGCTCGGTACAGGTGAGTACTCCTCACAAAAACATCAAAAACACGTTGAAAAAAAAAAGGTAAGCAGACTGGTACCGAAAGAAATTTACACTCGACATAAACAAAAAGATGTATCGCTGCTTTTCAAAGCTGCACCAGTGGATAGGTTTTGAAATGTCGAGAGTTTGCGCGCAAGAGGTGGGCGGGTGGGTGGTTTGAGGGGTTGATGAGGGGGATGAGGGGGGGGGGGTGAGATGAGGGGAAAGGGGTTGAGTAAAAAGGCGCCACGGTGGTAGAGTCCACAGCGGCTATCAGTCCGCGTGTTACCCTTCTGGTAGACGCTGAGGGAGAGGTCCTTTTAACTCTCAAACCGGTAGTTTTTTGGCGTTTTATTTTAGTTCATTTCCTTTATTTTTTTCTCCCCCATTTCCACTATGTTCAAGAGTCAGTGATACTCCACTAGTCGGTGTGCACTCTGTGAAGATTATTATTATTTTTTTTTTCATTTTACTTCCAGTGGTTTTTTGTTTGAAAGAAAAAATAAGGTACTCTAATCTGCTATTTTTACCACCCGAAATTCTCTCATTTGGAATTATTTCTGGTTAATGTTGCGACGGGGAATTTTTCTTTGGCGAGAACATATGAGTTGTTTACGGTCATTCGTCGTGAGAGCTAAGAATTTAATTTCCTCGGAGAGACAGAATTTTTCGGGATATTTATCTACCACTGGTCCTGCGAAAATCGTAAATCAGGGCGATTTAAATGAGCCCCGGGAGAGTCAAAGGACTCCTCATAAATATCTGTTTCACGTGATGAGAGTATCTTAGATTCATGGAGCTCTCTATTTTCAAAGTAACTCTCGGATTATTTACAATATTCATCATTACGGTGAGAATAGCGAGGGGTTGTGACTGAAATTAACAGTGCGAGAGTCTAGTAATTAATGAAGGAATGTCGAGTCAATAGATATTTGTGACAGGGTGCAATTTCCGGGGTATTCCAAATATTCGTTATTACCCGAGCGAATGTGTCCATCAAACATTTATATCTCCATTGTCGAATAAATTTCACATGCTGAATCAATATCGCCCGACCCGATTAATAACGCAATTAATAAGCCTATAAATAATAATTTCAACCTCGCCAATCCGAAGTTCTGGCCTAAATAAAATTCTCATATCCGAAAATAAATTCGAAACCCGCGGAAAATTGTCCGTTTCAATTAAGATCGATATCCCCTTAAAAATCGATTTCAAAGTCTAACAGAACCTGAAATAAATAAAAAAGAAAAAGAAAATCCTGACCCAATTAAAACCTCGACTCAATGCCTGAAATTTCCAGATCATCAGACGGTGCGATGTGAGAGCCAGAGGAGCCCCGAGGGGTTTCTCACCGTTATAAAACAAATAAATAAATAAATATCCGTTATAAATGGAAAGAGCTGGCGACGAAAGTTGTTAAAAAAGTGGTGGTGGCCGTAGTGCAACGGCAAATGTGGCTCTGTGCACGGTGAGCCAGGGTAACAGGGGCCGGGGGGCCCGTGGTGGGGGTAGCGTAGGCCGTACGCGGGGCCAGACGAGCGTGCGGCTGCCCCTGAGTCCGCGCACCCTGTGCGCACCCGGCCAAGTGGCGGGGCCTCAGGCGCCACCTGGTGCGGCTGGGACTGGTGCCGCGGCTGGTGGTCATGGGCATCAGGGTACACCTGTACACACCCAGAACATCGACGATGCGGCCGACGAGCCAATGGTTCACGTTGAGAGGCCCCAGCAGGATGGCACGTGGATATGCTGTGTACCTTGCTATTGGCTGAGACGCAGCAAAGCTGTTCACAAAGCTCTACTAACATTTGCAATGCTCCTTGTCACCAGTTTACTCGTAACAAGTCCCGTTTTATTTCTTATCACAACACTCCCCGAGGGAGATCAGCCCAGGGACTGCGCTGTACTTGTGAGTTCAATATTCTCTCCTTACACCATTTTTTTTTGACGTTATTCCAAGGGGTCATTACTACATGTTCTCCAGGAGAAAAGAAATACAAATTTATTTCCCTTTTTTCTTTTATCTAGAACTCGCGGAAAAAATGGAGAAAAATGTGGTCTCTGTCATTTTAAAGTTTCTTTGTTCATTCAAAATTTCAACTGTAATTAACCGTCAGTGATTACCTCCGCATTGAGTTTAATTTGTGGGTTAAATGTCAAAGACCAGGGAAGACTCGCTTGGTAATGATACTTAATGGAATTTGTGCTCTGATGGGGACGTGATTAAAAAAGAGAATCCAAAAATTGCGAGGGAAAGATAATGATTGAAATAACAAATGGAATTGTATGAAGCCAAGTTTCTCGTTATGCTCTTTATTCCGCTATTTTATTGGAATTGAAACGACTAATTGAAAAAAGAGTTGGTAATTACATTCCTCGCAAGTGAATCTCGGTAAAAAATCCGATGACTGGTATTTTTATTCTATTTCTACGAGAGTTCTGTGGGAAAGTCAGTGATAAGAGGACATCTTTGCTTTATAATTTGGCTTCATGTTTAGATGTGGACGGATTAATCAGTTGGGATTGTGCGAGGCTGTAATTTACGATCGTAAAATTACAGCTTTAAATAATCCCCTGGTCGGAGATATTTGTATTCGTCACTGGCTCCTGGCATCAAACGAGGGAATCATTAAATCCAATTGATTCCAGTGAGAAAATTGAGTTTATCTCTTTGCATTGTGAAAATAAGAATGGAGGGATGAAGGAAAATGAAATTTCACTTTGTACTCCATTCGTATTCGGGCGGTTTATCTAATGGACTTTACGATCCACTGAATCTTGATCGCCATTTTGCTAAAAGCGACAACAGAACTCGCTAAAAATACCGAGTATTTTAATAATAATAAAAAAAGAAATGGCGAATCCTTTTTAGTTAAAGGTCGTGGATGGTAGGCCAGGTGTACGAAACACTGGTGGAATTCAAGCCAGTTGAAAGGATCTCAAAATAGTTCTTTTTACTAAAAACAGAATTTTAACGGAATATTTAAAAAGTTGGCGAATGGTAAATCGGGAAAAACTATAGGAGTTTTCACTGGACTGAAAACTCAAGGGAGAGAGTCTCTTTATGACAGAAAATTTTAACATTCATTGAATCGAATTGCATTTTTGATTGACAAAGGAATTTTTTTCCCAGAGAAAAATTGGAAAATGGAAAAATTCGAGGCCCCGAAAATGATTATTTTTCCTTTGTGCATAAACACGGGAACAAGTCAGAAATATTTAAAGGTAATTAATGATTGAACTGATGGGAACAGATGGTTCGGGAAACAGACACTCTTCACGCAGTCTCTTTATCTCGAAAGAGAATACAAAATATTAAAGAGACAGTGAGAACTCTGTTGTGCAGAATTGACATTTGAAAATTGACAAGCGAGACGATACGACGGCAAACGAGAAATCAATTGTCATCCACCGCGTCCCTTCCACATTCTTCTCCTCTACGATTTTTATTTCCCCTATTTTTCGGGTAGAAATACAATTTTTTACAACAACTCCTCTGCCCCAGACATTCGCATGCAGTCAATACCGAGGGCCAAGAGGGAAATAAATTTTTCCCCTGTCAAAACTCAATTCCACTCGTGAAAAATCCACACGATAAATTATATTCACATTCACATGTCTCCGTATTTCTCTATTATTTTTTCATGAAAACTATTTAGTTGCACAAAGAGAGGAAAAGTCTTTGACGTGTGGAAACATTCAATAGGAAAATCCGACGCTTTCCTGACAAATACCTACAGCAATATATTTATTTATTTTTTTTCTTTACTATTGATTATTGAACATTTTTTAAAATTGATTGTAGGCTTTTTTGCGGGGAGTTTAGAGCGCTTTGTCGCGTGTTAAACAATTTTCACATTAAATATTTGAAGTAAAAACAGTGCAATAAACAATGATAATGCATGGTATGCATTATTTGCACTTGTTGCATGGCTATGCGGTTTGCTGGAGAGCGTTTAGACGAAAATATAAAGCTTGTACCACCAGCTGTGGACAACGGTCAGTTCATGTGTATGAGTTGAAGCCATAGAGTGGTGCAAGGTTTTGAGGCAAATGTCAAGCCATTGGCAGTGATCATGTCCCATTGAATGCACCACACGAAGAGTATGAGGAGACAGCATGAACTTTTTTGAATCCTCACATTTATTTCACAAGGTGAAACTTCATTTTCCTCAGAAGAAAAAAGAAATAATTGCAAAGAAATAGTGTTGGAAAAAAAAAATGTTGGAACTTGACTAAAATTGAATTTAGAAGAAGTGGATTTTTTCCTGTCCCAAATTATTTGTTGTTTCAACGGGATAAAGTGGAGGTCTAAATCATTTTGTAGTTTTGACTCTCGAGGACAGATTGAGTTGGCCGTTCCACTTTGCTCTCATCTCCCATGAGTTATTCAGGGATTTTCCCACAGGTTCTTATATTCTCATTCGTTCTTCCTTGTTCTGTCATCAAGAACCCATAGATGTTCAAATATTAAATTTATGCACGATATATTTGATATTAAATATACATTCAGCTCTGCGATATTGTACTCTTCGGCATATATCACTTTTCTTCATCTTCAGCATCGATTTGTCTTGAAAATATTGATTTAAGAAGAAAACGTCAAATGACTTTCTTGTAGCTATTGAAATTCCCAAGAGAAAAGGTCTTCTCACATTTTCTCCCAAAATCAATGGTTTCCCAGATAAATCGATAATTATGCACCGTAGAATTCCTCTACTTTTTTCGCACACGTATTTTTTCATATTTGCGATTATTTTTTACTGTGCCTAAACAGTTTTTCCATAATATTCGTCAGAATGTCGTTGACAGAATTTGCAATGCACTTTGACACTGAAATTTCATTACCAAGATGACTCAAGTATTTTGTTATCTCGTACCTGTCCTTATAAACTCTGGAAAGCTTGAGTTGCTCGCTATTTTCAAGGGTACGAATACCTTTAGGAATATTACTCACATATTCCCGTGAAATTCTCAACTTTATGGATTTTTCTTTGAACGGGGGATTAGTTTTCACTAGGCGAAAGATAAATATTAATTTGCCGGATGATGTGTAATGTTTCCAGGACGAGGCTTGTATACGGGAGAGAGATGGGCTGGAGGGTGCCTGTGAGACAAAGGCATGTTACGAGGCATCAAAGCGAATGTTGGCATCGATGAATCGCGATGTAGATCCTTGCACCGATTTCTATCAATTCTCCTGCGGCAGCTTTCGAGATAGGGAGCCTCATCAACCTAGCTCCAGCTTTGGAATGCTTCAGCGTCAGGTCGATCGCCAGATTCGAAGTGAGTCTTTCGCATTTCCAGGATACTACGTATCTGTTGGTTCCCGACAATTTAGGTCACCAGAAGGTCACCGGAAGGTCGTCCAGAGGCAACACAATTTCAGATAATTTACCACAGACTATTCCCGTCAAACTTAAAAACACAGCCCTCAAAATTCCTCAACTCTGCACGAAATATCAATTATTCTCCAATAAGAAATGAGGATCATTAACGTCATCAAGGTCGTCAGGAGGTTCCACGAAGGTTGTGGAGGCCTCCTGGAGTTAAACACCCCAAAAAACCAACAAAAAAACTTGAAATTCTTTCAGCCATTGCGCAATTACACTCCACTGTCATTACCACCCGCATCCGATCCACTTTCCATCCAGAACCAACCAAGATATTGGAAAACAATACTCTTCCCCATCCCCAGAATCCACCTGGTCAATGCCCTGAAACGTGCCCCATCTCCAGTGCTCAGAAAATACGATTGAAATTGACAAACACGTTGTGACAACCAAACAATAGCTAATCGCAATTTCATTGAATGTCCCCTCTTCACCATTCTCCCCACCCCTCCCTCCCCCCTCTCGGTGTCATGCAACTCGCTTAAGTGCAGCCGATGCAACACCAATCATCTCGAACCCTTCCTGAAGCACTATCTCATGGATAACAATGACAGCAAGTATTTTTGTTGGTGTCGCAGTTTGTCAAGCTTTCCTGTTCAACACTCAGGCCGTTGATGAGAATGAGCCATTGGAGTTGAGTACTGGACGGCAGGGGGGCGGGGCGTATGAAGCGCTTGAGGGGATGGGGCAGGGGTGGGGGATCTCTATAGAACAGTATCTGAGCGATAATTTCCAGGCGAGTAAAGCGACACCGGGGGGGCTAATCAATTCGCGTTGACGAGGCATTTCGAACGTTATAGCACAGCTACCGCGTGAATCTAAAGACTGGTATGGCATCCTGAGTACGTGGGCTGAGTGGGTTTGGTTTAGGTACCGACAAATGGGGCTGGGTTGGTGGAAGGGTGGCATGGACTAACCTACCTCCCACACCCAGGAAGTGTGAGGCTATCTTTCAAGGACAAGAGATAGGATTACAGAGGTGGATGGTATTAGTTTTCTTTTTTCAGGATCGATATGCCTCTGGAGATGAGTACATGTTGATGGATTATTTCAGATTTTGGGAGGGGATTCTCTGGTTTGAGAATGATTTAATGGAAAAATTTTGAGTGCTGAAATTCCAGGGAATTTAATTTCTTTTTTTTTTATAATTCTGGGGATGGAAAGCTTCCGTTGGGGAATGAAACATTACTCCATTATTCATGCGAGTCCCCTTCTGCGCTTAATGTCAGAAAAACTAAGACAGATTTGCATGCTGAACATGATAATGCATCAGACAGTTGCCTTCATGGAAAAAACTCATGGCAAAAATGGGGGGAGTACGTTACAAGGTTGAGAATGTGAAACGAGAGCTGGGCAATGGGTCGGGGAAATTTTATATGATGATGAAAGTCGAAAAAGAAATTACGAGATATAGCGGAAGACATAAGATTCAAGTTGGCGCCACTAACGCCCACTTTTTATCTCTCAATTTCATCGGGTTTTGCTCGCGGGTCTAGCTCTGTATCCTAATATCGGTGGAATTCAATGAGACATTTTTTGCTTTATGAAAAAATCACTGGAATAATCGTAATCCTCAGAGGCCTTCAGAGCCTTGTTCGAAACCCCACGATACGGAAGTCCACAGTGATCCCCAGATCGCAACAGCGTCAGTGAAGCCTCACGAGCAACTCTTTTTATTATTTACGTAAGAAAATGTGTTGCACTTTTAACGGAAAACTTGATTAATCTTCTGGAAACAATGGCCGACCTTCGCCGAGGCCACAAGAGTCTCGGAATAAAAACCGTCAGCCGTTCGCGCAACCATTTCCAAGTCTTTTTTATTTTCAGTCATAACTGCTAAGTACTCAACCCGAAAAATTCCTGAAAATAGTTGCCACGGAGATCATTAATGTCACGCATTTAAATAGTAACAGCGAAAATCCTGAGGGGTGAATATCGCAAAAAGTTGGTTGAGTGTGTTGTGCCTTTGAGCTGAAAGGTTGAATTTTTTCGGACACGGAGAGACGGAAGATGATGAAAATTAAAATATTTTTCTGTCTGTGTTTATGAATTCTCTGGACAATGTCCTGGATTACACTGGAGACGCGTGACCCATTGTTAATTATTTTAGAGGTAGCCCTTTGTCTTTCGCACATCCTTGGAGGTATTTTATCCCCTCACGTACTCCAGGTAATTGTGTACTTGTTGCTGTGTTGTTCCACATGACGATTGCACGACTTGTGTCGAGGTCTGATGTTGTATTCAAATTAAGCAAGTTTGTACAGGTCGCTTGGGGGTATGACTGTTGAGTCTGCATGAATTTGAAGCAATTAAACACATCGATTGGTGAATTATCGATAATGCTGGGATCATTATATTCGGGCTGTCCCGATCCTCGGAGAATGGAGCTATTAATATCGGTATTTGACTTGTTTCGAGGCATCAGTTAATGAACTGGAGACGAGTCATTAAAGTTTTGAGATGGCAAACGCTAACTTCTAGCACTCGAAACTCGAGTGGGTTGGCAGCGGTGAACCACATGCTTGTCATGTCTTTCAAATTTCAAGTTGAAAGGGGAAAAGCTCGGGTTAGCACTCGTATCGATATAGCTCAGGTGTGACGATCGATCATGGAAGCACCCGGACAAATCAGAGTTCATATTGAGACTTGGAGTTAATTCACGCTCAAACTCTCTGAACTTGGCGAAAGTTTCAGATTTATGTCAGACTTTAAAAAATTGTTCCCAATTTTTTTGTCTTCTCATGCAGATTCATGCAGATTTCCCCGGAAAATTAATTGAAGCTAGTCTCACTGGCCAATCCACGGGCTCGATGAATTATGTCAATTCAAAGGGTTATTATTTATTTGTCCATAAATTTTTACCGGCGGAATGGACAGGATTTTGAGGGTAAATATTTAAGTCTGCGAGTAACCCCTTCTGAATGTATATTCCCAAGTTAATTCCATAGTCGATACTTCAACTCACAAAAGGGGTTGGAGTACACCGGGGACCTCTACCCCAACAATTTTCATACCCCAGAAATGAAGAATCACAACCCCGAGACCTGCGCGAAACAAAAAGTTGATCGATTTAAAAATATAAGAAAAACCTACGAATGCCCACATATTTGACATCAGCTGTAATCACTCCAACTGCATCTTATCGATTAAACTGTAATATTTATAGCACAACCCCGAGTTCACGAATAGCTCTCATTCTCAGAAATCTCAGACCTCAAGACTCAACTTCAGCGTTGAATCGCGTGTGCAAGTTATTAAGAATTTTATTGCATCTCTGGAAGAAATATCACAGCCGGTGAATCGCCGTAACTCATCTCTAAGTGCCGTATAAATATTCCCTCGACAATTTTTTAAACAATGAAACACGAGAGAATGAGAGACGTGGGAGAAATTGGAGATTAATTAGCGCAATGGAAATAAAAATGAAAAGCTCCGGTGAAATTATTGGGAATTCTATCGCGTATTGACTTTTCTTCCAACAAAAACTCAATTTTACATCGATTGAAAGACTGAAGAGTTATTGAATCGAGTATTAAATGCGCGTGTGAAAAATAGAATTAAAATTATAGGATAAAATTTCTCTCAGACTCTCAAAAGTTCTGAGAACTTGTCGGAGTTCTTTTGAGTCTATTTGAGCGAATCATCTGTCGGCTGTTTGTTAATCATTCAAATGTCTATCGTAAAATGTTTCTCATGGCAATATAGTTGATATATTTCTAGGAGATAGGTGACGTGTCAAAGAAGTTGGAAATTGAATTGGGGATGCGGATAGTGGTGACTTTACAGAGTGAACGATAAGAGGGAAAATACGGATGAAAGCCGGTGGTTCGAGGACTTGAAAACTTCACCGTGGAAAAACTCAACGCCAAGTTAATCCGCGTCACGAATTAAATGAGAGATCGTTAACTGGATTTTAATAGTCATCGGGGGGTTGAAATAGATTTCCCGACAGATGCGAATCATCAATCACTCAGAGATAAAAATTCCATCAAAATTTCATTATTCTTTTATAGAAATAATTTCAGGACTGAGGAGACAATCGTCTAATTACTCTTTAATCAATTCCAGAGATGCCTGTGAGAAACGAAAAATCGTTTCCATTTAATTCTTGATATTGAAAAATATTTGAAAAATATCTGTAAAATGTCTGTAAAATATCTGTAAAATATCTGTAAAATATCTGTAAAATATCTGAAAAATGTTTCAGAGCTGCTGACAAATGTCACGGGAAAGATGACAGGTCCATTCGAAAAACTCGGGCTGTTCTACACGACTTGTCAGCATCACGGTGATCTCGAGGTCGATTTTTCACCAGGTAAGCTGTCACAATCGATAAATCAATAGGACCTTTGTCCACTTGTCTCGAAACATTGAACGAGAGTTAAAAGAAAACCCCATCCCACCGTCACGTCGACTAACCGAGTGACGTGGTAAAGGGATGGGGTGAAAAAAAAAATGTAGTGGCATGTTAGTGGAAATAAAAAATAGAAAAATATACCCATAGGCGCAAATAAACTGCGAGTCAACGGTATTTTCAGCGGTAACCTCGACATTATTCCGGACTAACGAGTGCTGTTTTTAGTCATTTCCAGGCATGCGGCCTGCAGATTCATCCACCGTCCATTTTTTTTTTAAGTTTATTTGAAAAAGCCCCGATGTTGATTCATTTACATGGACAATGGTCATATCTGCGGGGGGTAAATGAGAAAAAATTTGGCCGTTCGCCCCCTTTTTTTTCACGACTCACGTACTCAGAGCTTTACACTTGCCAGGTCATATCAATTATTCATACGATCTGTGGACACACCTGCCTGACAAAATCCTTGTGAATTTTATGCCGTATCACGCGGCTGATTGTCGTTTCGATATTTTTTTTTTACACGCGGAAATATCGGATTAATTTTAGACTCGGGGAAAATCGGGAACTGGAGTTGAAACACTTGAGATTTTTTAATTAATCTAACTAGTAACGAGTTATTCAGTCCCTAAAACATTTGCTAAATTCAAACGATTTAATTGTTTTTAATTAATACATCCGGAAAATGAATGAGGTCTCATCCATTTTTTCAGGGGGAATTATCGCGATAAAACTCTTAAATCAAGATTATCATCTCCGGTGCGAGTAGTTTTATCTGTACGTGTGCAGCCGGAAAAAGGAAAAAAAAAATCGTCGACGTAATTAATTCAGGGGGTAATCCTAATTTAATCTTAATAGCGAGATGAGACTCATAAATGGAGGAGAATCCGACGATTTCTCAGTGAATGATCTAGATTATCAATTTTTTCGGGAACAGAGGGAATCGATATCGGTTATTTTCTCGGAACATCGGACTGAGGTGAATATTTTTTTCCAAGGGTCAGAACAAGTGCCAGATGGTACACCAGTTTCTGTGTTCAAACTAGTGTTCGTACGTGCACGATAAACCGATTTTCGACCCCTGCATTCACTCGAATAAACCGCAGACATTCATTCAACAAAAAAAAAATTATTAATCCCGAATTGCCGACAAATTAATTACTCACTCCCGATACTGTCCTAATTTTTAAATGCGTGCAGCTCGTACGTGGGTCGTCAAAGTAAAAACTCTGAAAAGTCCATCGATAAAGATCGGGAGATCCGCCGTTTCGATAATCCGCGGAATGATTTCAACCTTGCGCACGCAACGAAAGTTACGACATAAAAATCACCGGTCGCAGAGCTCTCGAGGGTGAGAAATCTTGGGAAGAAGCTTCGCGTGATCCTGAGGTTTTAGTCGTCGAAGGCGTCGACCCACTTGGGTATTACCTAGAAGCTTTTGTCCAAAGACCCCGAAGGTCACTTCTTTCCCGAGTAAAAAGCCATGAATGCCCAACGTCGGGTGAAAATCGTTAACCGCCACTGCCAATTAACCCCGCGAAAACGATTAACGCGTGAGATATATTCCCCGTATTAATTCTTTCAAAAACCTTGAGTCCAATCAATTAACACCCTTTATACCACAACTTCTACCACAATTACCACAAGGAAAAATAATTACAAATTGTTGAATCCCTTGGAATTGAAACGGAATTTTTAAAGTTTTCGAGATTTCTGTAACAGAATTTTTCACGCAACCCGCGGCTTTCATGCAGGAATTTCCCGGACTCGTGTTAATCACGACGAAAAGCACAATCTGCTCTCTAAAAACATTTCTTTCTTCTCTCCCCCCCCTGAAAATAAGTTTGCAGTAGTATTATACTCCGCAGTCGGACCACCATTTGGCGGTTGCCCACGAGTTGTGAAAATTTTTCAGTCTCCAAAAGCACTAGGTACTCCACAACTTCATACCGTTATAGCCAACTTCGTTATTACGTTTCCTCGCAAATGAGATAATCTTAATTTACAGCCCACCCTATTCGCGAGTCTCACAACAATCTACGATTATTGTTATCCCGCGAGGTTATAATCATATTTTAATTCAACGCTAGGTGAAATCAATTTGTATTCACTCCGAAAATTAAATGGCGCGACAAATTTGACGTTTTGAATGAACAAAATATTTATTTATTCGTTAATTTATGGAGGATTATTGGGTAGATCTTGTAATTCGCGGTTTAATTCGGGAGATTTGAGATATTTAACAGTGGGTCGACGTCAGAGAGACGAAGTGCTTCTTTGTACGCGTTTTATGTTAAATTGCAGCGTCACTCCTTTACAATGCGTCGTTAAAAAGCCTCGGTGTATATCGTCCATAAAAAATGCAGTATAGTGGGCCATTTGCCGGTGAGATGCTGATGAAGCCGGATGTGCTTTTCCACGTATATTCCAGCTTCATTCTGGTTATCGTCCTCAGACCTATCAGTCGTTTCAAGGGGACGAGTGGCTCCAGCATCAACCGTTGTACTCAGATTAGCATTTGCATCTCATCTGGCTCCACACATTTTCAAATATTATTGCAGCAGTGATAAAAATACAGTATGAATCGCCCCAGAAAGCCTTTTTTATTCTGCAGATGACGTATTTTTTATTTTTTCGATATAATTCTTCTATCGAGAGATATTTAATTTTGAAAATTGGTAGTATTTGGGAAGTATTTAGCACCGGATATTGCACGAGCCTATCGAGGCTCTCGAGGCTTTCGAATCTCATTAACTTGAGGAGAAATAATTGACATAACGAAGTGATTGGATTTGTTTCTTTGATTATTTTTTAATGAGATGGTGGTGGGGGCTCATTAATGGGGGAGAATCGTGTGACTTTGATAGATGTATGATTAAATTTGATTGCAGTTTACAAGTTGCTGGAGGAGTTGGGGGGATATTTGCCACCGAAGGCACCAGCACCACTGGACATAACACCACTGGTCTCTACACTGTTGCAGGCCAACGGTGCCCCATTATTCGATCTTTATCTGGACATTGATCTTTATGATCACTCTCGGACATCTGTATTCCTCGATCTGCCATCTAATAACCATCCCGAGGGGTTTTTCACAGCGAAGCAAGTGAGTACCCATAGAAAATAAAGAGAAGATTTTTTTATCCTGGAAATGTGAGTGACATCTGGGATCAGATGACTGGTACACCTGGATATTGACCATGTGCGAGTCACTTCCGAGTCATTGAATCCGTTGAAAACCTTGAGTTTACGACAAATATATCGAGATGTCGTGGAGGATCAAGTTGAAAATGTTGAAGGTTGAGTCTGTCGAAAAATACTACCATTGAAATACCCGAGTGCTGTCGATCTCGAATGATACAAAAGCTCGTTCTGCTCCAGTACTCCTCAAGGTGGAGGAAATCCTGTACCCCGTCAGAAACTACTGTTTCTAAATACCCCAAGAATTGATGGAGCTCTCTGCTAGCTCGGGATCATTAAAGACCCGAGGAGAAAAAATAATGGCGATTCTCAGGGATCGATCTCTCGGTTTTAGGAACTCTCGAGCGAAAAGGTGAAGGGTAACGAGTCGAGTTAGGGAATAGGTAAGTATTTCAGGAATATCTCGGAATCTGAGAGAGCTAGGGTAATTATCCTAAGGACCTTTCTTTTAGCGCACAATTTTCTCTACAGAAAAGATCTTGAGGACAATTTCGCTGTCTCCTCTGGTTTCAGAGATATTCATCGAAAACTCGACGAGCGAATCAGTCGAGTTTTTACAGTTTATTTCTGATTCTGATTTAATTAATAGATTATAAATAATTGTTGGTTGAATATTAATTAGAGGAATTCGCGAAATTTTTAATGATATTTATTTGGTTTTCGTTTTCCCATTAAAACTCAGTGTTCTTGTGGAATTTGTGGAGTAGATTGGAGGCATTGGAAGGCATCGACCACTGACTTTAATTACCCACAGCCAAATTCTCAAAGTGTAATTACTCGGTACGGGTATAGATGTAAAATACCGAGATTGGCAAGCGCCAAGGAATTAATTGGAGTGGAAGAAAAACGATTCTGTACCCATGGACGTGTGTGCAACCGGAAACGGATGGAGAAAGGATTTAACAGAAATTTTAACAGAATTGAGTAATATCTTTGAAATCCTCGCGTCAATCCCCAATACCTCCGATCCATCCACTGATACACACGTGACACTCGACATTTTTCCCAATTTCTGTATTTTCTCGACTTCCGGTTGGCGACCGATTCTGCAAATACATTCACCCAATGCGCGCACTCTTTTACGTCTTTTTTACGACGGCATAAAATATCTTTTGAGTTGTGCCGGTTTTTTTTTTTCTCCTCAGCCTTTGCTAGTCCGGGGTTTACATTTTATTTAATTGACATTCAGTACACTCGCGTTTCTTGTTATATATGGGGGATTGAATTTCCTGACGGGAGAGGAAATAAGATTTTCCGTTTCTATCGTATTGAATGTATCTCATTCATTTGCAATTTTATTTTTAAAATTAAATGATTGTTGCTGAAATATCGGGGAACCAACGCGTGTTTTTTCAACAATTCGTTTGGAGGCTATTTTTATTTCACCAAGAGAATTGAATTGTTGGGAAAATATTTGAATTTCGGAGACAGGTTTTTCATTTTCCGGAAATAATTCACGAGTTTTTCGTTGATGGAACGATTCAGTTGTTGTTTTAGATAGTTAATTATGAATGAATGGCCGAGTTGTTAAAATTGCGGTCGAAGGGAATTTTCTAAACATTCCGTTATTAACTATTAACGAACGAGCAGTCGAGGTCGAAACAATTTCATCGAAAAATCCACTGAATTTGGAATAAAATTTCAACTTTTTGATGATTACTCTGCAAATTCATGATTGAATTCTTCAGAATAACGACTTCTTCTCATCAATCCTGAGTCTTGATAACCGAAGGAGCAGAGAAAACTCTGGCAATTCCGAGAATACCACAAAGGTTTTCCGTAATCGATTGGATCTGAAGTTTCAAACAAGTTTCGACGTCAAGATAAAAGAAACTAGAGTCAAAAAGTAACGTGAATTGGTTGGCGCATCGTTGAGAATACTGTGGGATTATTCTCACGGAGTTAACCCGTGAAAAGTTGAGGGTAGGATCCATTATAGGGGTGGATAGTACACGTGAGCAAATGGGCAAGCCTATCCCGAGAATGTACACAGAGTCTGTCCACTTGACATTCTGAGACCTTTGTACTATCCAACTTTATGTGCACTGAGAAGCACGTGAGAACAAGGGACGATTCTTAAATAGTTGAAGATGGTTATCCACCCAGGGGTTGGAAAAACTACGAGTTGAGGATGAAAAGGTATACCGGGAAGGTTTAGACGGTTAATATTCGACAGTCGCATGCGCCATTTGGTCAATACATATTCTGGATGGGAAGGGGATAGGGTCTCGTCGCGTAAACAAAGCTGGTCTATCGAGAATCGATATTGCAATATAAGTGTGTTAGCATTATAAAAGGCCAACAACTGTCCTCTCGACGGCAGGTTGATGTACAACTGTTACTGAGGCGGAAAAAAAATCCAGGGTGCTCACAAAAAATAGCAACAGACACTATTTTTATCGGAGTATCTCCCAATTCGGCTGTAATACCTCAATATTCGTGAAGATTTCAATAATTTTTCTTCCATCCCCCAATTAATCAATTATGTATCGTCTCCGGTGTGTGGAGGTCATGTGGAGGTTGTGTAGGGCGACAATAGGTCATACAAGGGTCAGGCGAAGGTCATGGAGGACGGAGTAATTTGGAAAATTGAAAAAGATAGGGCCGACGCATGTCGTAAACTCAATGAACGTCTGTGAACCCGATGAGATCAACTTTTCGTGATATTTGGTATTAAATTTAACCCGTGGAATTCGACAAAGGAAGAATGATTCGAGGGCGTCCGGAAGGAAACTGTCTGGTGGAAGAATCGCTCGTTTCGGCGGTTAACGGAGATATCTAACAGTGAGGACACGACATTCTGGAGCCAAGAAGTCGAATCTCGGTGCAACGTACATTTTGGTGGATGTGTTACGAAGAGATGGGCGGATGGGGGGGTGGTGGTAGAGTAAAGGAGTCAGATACGGGGGTGAGTTGTCTGGACCACTGCCAAAATTCACCCGAGACCCGCGAGAATCCTTCTAATTTTCCACTACGACCCCATAATTCTTACTCGACCTTGTCTACTGTCATTCCCTCCATTCACGAATCATCAGATTTCAGTCTCCATCATTCGAACTCTATTGAATCTACTGAATCCACTGAATCTACTGAATTTACTGAATCTACTACTGAATCAGGACCCACGTCATTGTACTTTCCTGTTTGGGGGTGGCAACGAAAAAGTATGAAAAATTGAAATTACCCTGTGTGCACACACGTTAACTGTGTGGGTAAATTTTATGTAACTCTACTCGATAGTTGGCACGCTTCCGGCTTGTTTGCCCATGACCACGCAAACTTTTGCCCACTAACCTACAACTAAACCCTCAAGCTCTCCCCAACACGTGTACATTTGGCATGTGCAATCGTTTATTCGCCGAGGAGCTGTACAATTCGGCACGCAATAGAGTCATACATCTGGGGAGGAAGGAAATATTCAGGAACATTAATGATTCAGTCGCTTACAGAGGGAAACTTTTCAGTCCGGAGTGAGACCATAAATTGATTAAGTTCTTAAACGAAGAGGACTTGGAGAAAACACGGAATTACGGCTACGAAATTTATCAGAATTACCATCGTCTTTGGAAATTCACATTTTTTTGAGACTGTTAATTATTTCATTAAATTTCAGGAGGACGGGCCCAGATGGCGTGAGGGCCTCAGTGGATTACAGATAAAGCGAAAAAAACGATCGAGTCCAGTCGAGAGTCGTGCATACACGTTGATCAAGGTATGAATTAGATAGTGAATTATGAATCAGTAATTTCGGAAATGTTCTTTCAAAAATTGCCGGTCCAGTGGGCAACGGAAAAATATCGCCTGCTGGTGGAATGAGGAATGGAGACGCATCATTTTTACTGGGATTTCGCTCCCTCCAGGTCCTATGACCTCCAAATATCAGCCATTATTCATCCGCACAAGAGGAAAATAAAAGAATTTTAGTAAATCACATTGGCTCTCGCGCTCTTCGCGGTAACTAGTCCGGCCAAACGGCTGTGTCATGTTTACCAGATGCTCATAAATCTGTACCTCACTGCACCGACTAATAAACTCGGAATACTCGGGCTTTTCTTTAGCGGGATTTGTAGAATGCAGAGAGTATTATAAAAAGTTCACCTCGTACTGCGGTACGTGGAGTAATAAAGAGTAGTTTCGATGGCGTCCCTCCAGGTGGCACTGCGGGTGGTATCAAGAATTCATCAGGATCTCGGAGGTTTTTTAAACCCGAGGGAAAGTCTTTCACCGATTTTCACCAATTCTACCTATCCCCGATAAACCAGAGAAGATCAAGAGAAAAATTTCGGTGCTGGAAAAAACAATTCCTAGATTTAAGAGTCTCGGGATTTTTATATCCGAATTTTCTAAATCTAGAGGGTTTTTTACAGCATCAAGAAATTGTTCTCTTTGTGGATTTATTGTCCTGTGAGTTGGGAGAATGGAAGAGGAAATGTGGTCCACACACTGGCCCATAAATCCACTCCCATTTTCGGATGAGAATTTGCATCGGCTTCTGCGGTATCCCTACTCCGCGTATTTTCAAATCTATACTCTAACGATACAATTCCACCGGTCTTGACCTACTTTTCACAGCGACAATTTACCTTCCAACCGATCGAAATTTAAATCGCTACCTACGATCGCTGACCATAACCTCCTTTCTAAACTAAATTTTTCCCGGCGATCGATGATGCACCAGATATAGACAGCGTTATCTCTCGAGTTGACTCACAAAGTTTTAATGAAACATCGCCCGGCCGGACCAATTAATCATGGAAAATTCATCAAGTTTTCTCCACACTAATTTTTTTTAATAAAAAAAAATGTCGGACTTCAGGGAAAATTCCACTGACCGATGGACAAATTCATTTCACGCGCGTAAAAATTGGAAAAAATCGCAGGTCAATTCCCATCGCGAGTCACGGAAACTTGTGGGTAATTTTTACTCAGGATTTCTCGGTGTAGTTTCAACTTTATAAAGTTGATTTTCGTGATTCCGCAAGCTGTACCACATTGATGCGGAGAGCCACGGAAACGTGGGTTTGCGTGTTGCTGTACCAACCCGGGGATTTTCCTCTAAATCATGCAACTAACCACTCTCCTCCGCGCAAAAAATTGTATTGAAACTGAAATATATGAGGCACACGAGGCCTCAGTCTTTCAAAAAAATTAATTACAGTTGAAATTTCAGTTCGCGTTAAAGAGTGAATTTCACGTCGAGGCGCACTAAAAAGAAAAGTTCTCCTTAAAAAAATATATACACCGCAATTGCCTGGAGGATTTTTCAGTCTACTAAAATTATGACGCTGATTACCCCATTTTATCTGTTTTCACAGACTAATATTTCGCGGGTTATGGGTACAGCCATTAAATCTGAAATGATTAAATCTCCCATTGTACCACCCACGACCGCGGCAATTTTAAAACCCGGAGTTGATTGCCACTAATAACCCCAAAGGTATCAATAACGCGACAAGAAATAAGATTGTTCAGGTGCTACAGAATAGAACAGTGAAAGTCCCATGATACGAGAAGTTACAGATATTTGAACGATTTCCAATTGATCGAGCGTCCGAGGATACGGACTCCCTCAAAAATTCCATTCCCCAGCCTGAGCTATTCCCAATAAATAGATTCAATCCGTTCTTTACTTGTCCTGGTGGAGGGTAAAAAAATCCGAAGGATTCGGATCGAATTTGTGGGTCGCCTTGGAGCACTCCGGCGTGAATCTCAAGAGCTCAAGCCATAAAACAAGCTAAATCCGTCAGGGATATTGCTTTAGTTACCATAGAGTTGACCTTGGACTTAGAATTCAGAACAGACGAAAATATACAGGAAAATAAATGGCACCTGGACATCCTTAAATAACAATCCTATTAATGTCGGAAATTGGCGCGTCAAAGTTAATGGATAAACACGAATTATTAAAGGCATGAAACTTAATGAAACTTGGAATGACTAGGTATAATATTTCCTCAGAAAATATCAAAGTTTGTACACCACCGTGAATTTATAAACCCCCCAGAATCGTCATAAATCTATCCGCCATTCAATCCCCGATATCCGAAAAATTCTGTGCCCACGAGTCCCCGCACAATTCGATTAGCGAATAATTAATAACCCCCGATAACATATTCCACACCGAAAACTATTAATATTCATATATCAATGTATCTGCACGTAATTTGCAATTTATATGCGTTGCCATGTGAATTCACGTGTCCGCAGGCACCGGAAAACTTTTATTCAACCGCATGAAAGACCAATTTTAACAGTCATTCACACGAGAATTCCGCACTGAGAACGATAAAGTATGTTCTAAGTGTTTGAAACTAGAGTGAAATACACTTTGATCTTGACGGTGGTATTGTTACGATATTTCCCCCTTATCCACCAGAAATATGAAATTTCATCTCATTTGTTCTCATGTGCGTATGAATGTAGAGTTTTTACCCCTTTTTTATTTCAGAGTGCACGAGAAGAGGAGCGTTGCCGTAGAATTGAGAGAATAATCCAGCATTTTTTGCCCAAGGACATGGAAAACAGGGAGCGATCATATGAAGCGTATCTGCTGATGCAGTTTTGTCTGGCACTCAGCAAGGTATTTTTCTCCCAGTACACTTCTCTCATCGTGAAAAATCATTGCTCGTTGGTATGGAGTGTTGGATAAACAATTCAAGTGAAGAAAAACAGTCCCGGTCCATTTCCCGAAGATCAAGGGCATGGGGAGGTCATAGATCATAAAAAGGTCACGAAGGTCGACGACAATCCGCGAATATTCTTCCTAACTCTTCTCACAATTAAAATTCAATGTCTTGAGGTTGATCTTTGAACTCTGGACCACGTGTACTTATTTATCTAATGAAAATTTGACGCGTGGAGGGCGTGTGGGGGGTGTAAAGAGGTCGTGAAGATCATACGGAGGGTATCAAGAGGTCGTGGAGGTTGTGGAGGTTGTGGAGGTTATGGACGTCATTTAAATTTCAGATATATCCTCGACAAAAAGATCTTTACAACTGGGTGGACGTGGACCAGCGTGTCTATGTACCTTACAACCTCACGTATCTTCAGAACAGTTTTGGTTATGTAAGTTAATACGACATTAACAAACTGCATCACGATGCATCACAGTGGATAGCTCGTATTATTCAAATGGTTGATTCCTCGGTTAGATAAGGTGGGGGACGCTGCTCAATTCTACACTGAGTAACAACCCCAATATGATGAATTTATACAACCGTGGATACAGCAACGATGAACGCTTGGTTTATGTCTATGTAACAGCACCGAGGTACTTCAGGAGTCTCGGCAAATTGCTCAATCAATTTTCCAAACGGTGAGTCAACCATTGATTCTCACTAATTATAGCAAATATTTTAAAAAATAACTGTTCCCGAAATCGGTGAAGCTCTACCATTAAATTTTCCCACCCAGTCTTCATCATCTACACAACTTAATGGCGTGCATGCGCATTTCGAGCCAAAAAGCTCATCTCAACGGGTTTGCGTTATAAATTATGCAAACATGTACATGCGAATTCCTACTTGGCAAACCGCAGACATTAATTTCACCTGATTTCATCTGAGTTGGAATTCAAATCTTTCAGTCGAGCCCAACAAAAAGATCGGAATATATTCGAATAATGCGACTGAAAATTACGACGTGCTTTAACTTTCAAATGCGAAATATCCCTGAAAATCCCAACGAACACAGGAGAAAAAAAAAAAAGATGAGATTACCATCGACTGAATGATTTCGCGGTGAACCAATTAACCGTACGAAAACACTAGGTGCTATCAATAATTCTGAAGCTAAACAACGGAATTACGAAGCTGATGGTACCAGCGTGCGTTGCCCCTATGGAAAATCCCGAGAGTATCCAAACAGATCAGATTAATCGTCAACCGAAAAGAAAAAAATCAGTCTCCATAGTTCACATATTTTATCCCCATTATTTGCTATTCTGTTGGGATAAAGGGGAATGGATTCCAGAGAGGCCAGTTTCGCATGCCAAAATTTGTAAAGGGGTTTCCCTGGCTCAGATGCTGGAGATGCCGCGCAGCCGTGGGATTTCACCCAGATTCTAGGACTAAGTGATGATGATATGCGTGATGCGCCTCAGGGAATGGAATAAGCGTTTTCGATCGGTTATAATACGTCGTACTATTGTTGATACAATGGCCCTGCATGAAATACCACTCTTGGATAAACCACGGGGCTTCTCATTGCTATCCCAATGTCACTCCGAGACCATTATCATCGAGGTAGACAGCCACTGCCAGATGCTACGCCTCTAATTACCTCTCCAACCATCCCTTCCACCCCTTCCACCACTTCCACCCCTTCCACCCCTTCAATTACCATTTTAAATAAACAGTCTGAGGCAAATTGAAGATTTAATGAATAAACGAATGTCTTTGTTGAATTAAAACAAATAATTTTCCCGATTGCATCGTTATTCTTCAATTAAATCTGTTCTATTGATCACTAGCGTAATTACCGCACTTGATTAAACATAAACGCGCAATTAGTCGGGTCAATACTCAACTCACTTATAAAGTAAACACTCCGTATCATAGCTATCCTGAATTAAAACTCAATGAAAAATCGTGAAAAATCATGAAACCGCAGTGGCTGAATTTTTACCACGAAATTCAACAGCTCGAGTTCAACCAATTAATTATAATTAATGTTTCTACTTCGTCATAGGATCGTTCATAATGGCCTCCTGCTGCTATATGCTGTGGATACACTCCACGATATTGTCAACGTAACAGCTAGTGATAATTGGAATGTCTCATGCAGCAAGTTGACGAGCAATCTTTTTGCTGAGGCTGTTGGTGCTGTTTACGTGCAGCAGTACAAACCCCAGCACCTGCAGACACTCGCCAACCGGGTGATTATCGATTTAACTGATTAATTCAGAGGGTGAGATAAATTTATTGCAAAACTTTACCCTGACATCGTGAAGAATGAGAGATGTCTCGTGAATAATTGGGTAAATGTTGCAATAATTTTGTTTCAATGAGGATCGGTTGATGGCATGAAGACCAATTAATTTTTGGTTACTGTGGGTGGGGGAAAAAAGGTTGAGAAATTGTTTGAGAGGATAAAGGAGACACTAGCTGAGAGGATGCTGGTGATGTCGTGGCTGGACGATGAGACTCGTGCACAGGCTCTACTAAAGCTCACCGAGTTACGGGGAAAGTTTCACGTTTGGCCTGGTTTTCATAACGATACACTTCTTGCTGGGGAAATGGCCGGGGTAAGAATAGACTCATTCTCCTCTATTCTATATTGTTTAATCAAACATTCACACGGTGTCTTCAGGTTGTCGTTGACCCCGACAATTTCTTCAAGAGCGTTGTCGCGAGATTCAGACAGATACGTCGTCTTCAGGGACTTGTTTTACGGGCTAGCATAAACGATAGGTGGCGACATCCCTACGCTGTCAACGCGTATTATGAATCATCAACTAATTCAATAGGTGAGTAGTTTTATAAGACTGACGTGGACAATCTTTGAGATTATGAATTTCAATGAAATTGAAGTTATACCACTGGCAATGATGACTGCCTGGTCGTGGTCTTGGGAGGGTGGACCAGCTTACGCTGCCCACGCAACCCTGGGCTCTGTGATAGCTCACGAGATACTTCATGCCTTTGATCTACATCATCGAAGACTACCACTCGATCCCGATCTCGGTGTTGATAATTACCAGTGGATAACACAGGAGTCGTGGAATCGATTGGAAACGAAAATACAATGCGTCGGAAGACTCTACGCTAAGAGATTTTGGAAGAAAGTACAGTTTTATGGTGATCCCGTTGATGTTCAGGTGAGGGGATGCCTCTGGAATGGTTAAGCTGTTTTTAAATTACAGCTAATTATCTGAATGTTTTTTTTTTGGTGAAGTTTGATTGGAATGTCACGAGGAATGAGAATGTCGCTGACATTGGGGCTCTACAAATATCCTACCAGACGTGGCATACACTGACTAACGGTAGGGACAGAACATTGCCGAGTCTTGAGGGACTGCGTCCGAGCCAGTTATTTTTCATAAGCGCCGCCCAGACTTATTGTTCTAACATGACTGCCGAGGCCTACATCCTCTCCGTCGAGCTCGACTATCACACCCCTTATCCAGAGAGGTAATAATTCACCCCACCCTCAAGATCTCCCTTATCCTCCAAAGAAATTCCTGATATTCCATCCTGATAATTTCGCAATGAGATTAGAATTCGACGAGTGACTTGAATTTGAGTTGAACTGGAATTTTTAATTTACAATTGCGAGATTTCTTTATGGAAAATTGATGTTATTTTCTTCAGGGTTAATGTGGTTATGATGAATTCACCGGCCTTCGCGGAGGCCTTCCGTTGTCCTGCTGGTGCACGAATGAATCCACCGAACAAGTGCAGCACGTGGTGATTTGAATTTCCCTGTACCCAACACGGGACCATTATTATTATTGGAGAAATGAGTAATCGCAAATGGTGATTTGACGATAATTTCACGGAGTGTTGGCTCAAATTCGCGACGCCTTTTTATTAGATGATACCACGTTGCGTCCACGGTGAGAATTGATTTTTACATCCACTGGTAACACCAGGGAAAGGGCGAACCGACGTTTAACCGAGTCAGGTACATCATCATTGTCACAATCGATTGACAATAATTCCGATGGAATTACATCATTGCTTTATTTCCAGGGAAATGGACGCGATGGTGGATCGTTAGATCGATAAGCTTGTTATAGAATTTTCAAAGTCTAATGAAATTGGTTGAATAACTCACAGTGGCCGAGCTCACTGTTACCAGGAAAATAATTAACTGAACTAATTATTGTAACACAGACACGTATACGTACACACTTACATAACACGCAATTTCAAAGACGTAACGTTTAAATCCCCAGACAATGCTTTAGAAATTGAAGAGAAATCATTCAGTAGCGAAGTGTTTAATTCAATTAACTTGAATAATTTTTCTTAATTATCAATTCGTCAAAGCAAACCCCTGAATTTCTAATTATTTTTTCAAAGAACTTTTTATTGGACTATTTAATTAGCAGTAGAAAAATTCTCTAAAACTCAAACTAATAAGAAGTTGAGAAAATATAGTAGATTGTAGTAATTTTAATTTAGAACTTCGCTACTCAATTGATTATTCATTAATTGAATTAGTGGAGGACAGACTTCAGCTTCGATTCAGTTACGCGAGAGAAATGAGTCCTCTACGGATGTAATAACAACGCAATATTCATTTAATTTTGTCACGTGTTAATCAAATGAAGAAGAAAGAGTTGGAGTTGTTCTTGTACCGAAAATTAGTCCTTTACATATGATTCGATACTCGATTCGCAATTCTAGTAGCCAACGACGCGAGAGTTTAAAATTCCGATAAAACAAGTCAGTACGAGCTGTTTAAGATAACAATCGAATCAAACTAGCATAAGAATTTATTTGTTTCCCTATTAATGCATTTTATGGAGCCCTGTCCCTCCGATGGAACGGCCAATAAAAGTTGTTTGTAGTTTAAAAGAATGGAGAGGCATGTAAAATATGTTGAAGATCATTGAAAATATATAAAATGCAAGAATCGCAAACTGTGATAGTCTTCGGCATTGCGCTATTGATTAAAACATTTCGTTCCTCTACCGAACAAGTACGAAAATTCTCTATTATTTTCCAGTTATCACAATCTCAATGGATTAAGTTAGTACTGATTATTTTCAAATACGAAATTATGAAGAAATGTGAGTGTAATTGCTGATGACTTGTATGGCTAAATAAATATGGTTTATACAAAAAAAAAAAAAAAAATCCTGAGAAATTAATTGCTTTCAATCTACAGTATATTCCTCGGTGCAGATATATTTTTATTCCCGCAGCGAATAACCCGAAAACAGATGAAATTCGATGTTCTACAACCTCGAATCATGACAAGGTTAAAACGATGATCGCGAGTTCACGTCATGATGTCCAGTGGTCCAGCCCACGTATTCATCATCTGGATGGTAACCAAGGTACCCACCCACCGAAAATATTCCCGGAAAAAAATTTAACCCAACCAACATCGAAACAATTTTCAGTTGATGGCGCATACTCCGGCCACTCGAATAATTCCCTACACATCGGAGTTTTCATACGAACCGAAACACCATCCCTCAGAGAATCCCAGCTGTCCAACCATAACACCCCATAAAATTCGTGAATCACAGGGTGATAAGTATTTTATCCCGAAAACTCGTAAAAACGGTGCTGACGATGTACGGGAAAATGGGAAATCGTCAGTGGAAATTATAGCCATCATTCTGCCATGTACCCGCCCACCGAATGGTCTCATAAACAATAGTGATTACAGCCGCTGGCATTATCATCACAAATACTCAAAGATCAAGAGATGTCACCGTAAACTCGCAATTTCTATTAAACTCACGAATGTCGGACAGGTATTCCCCCAAAAATCCCCTTAGCAACATTAAAAAAACCCCCAAAATATCTGTTTTTCAAAATTCATAACACCACTCCCAGAAAAAGAAAGAAATAATTTGTTTTTGTTCAAGACAAATTAATTTTCGCGGTACTTAAAGATTTGTAAACAATTTATAATATTTCGCATATTTTTCGCGGATTTTAAGACGAAAATCGATTAGTTCCTGGTGTTAACTAATTCGCTCATGTTTTCGCGGTAATTTCCGGTGCATTTCCGTGCAGACTGATACAGACGATCGATTCATAGTGATAGACCATGTAACAGATCCACTTACCCTCCGGAAATCCCGCCTGATGGACCCGTACGTGATAAAAATCCGGCAGGAGCAAGTGCTGCAGTTGTATCCGTTGAGATTCCAGAGTGTGAGTATCAACTCGTTGTCTTCCTGACCTGCCCGTGGTAAAACTCGATCGATGCATCTGAAATCAAATAATTCAAAACAATCTTTAGTCGATGCTGTGCCAAGTACTGATAACAGTGTCCAGCACTGATAAGAGCGATTTCCTGAATGAAAAAATTCCTATAATTTTTCTCAAAGTCACAATCACTCAAACCTTCGATTGATTGATTATTTCTCATGGAATGATTGAATGACTTTATGAAATAATTTTGTTCTTTGGTCTAGGGTTTAATAAATTAATCCCAAAGTAAATGTGCGGTATTCCTGATTGATGACGAGTGAAATAAATAGAGTACAATTTCAGGTAGTGAATGCCGAGGCAACGGAGGAAGTAATAAACAATGAAAAAGAGAATTTCGTTGGTTGCGACGATTACTCGAACCATCCGACTTGTGGGGAAATGTTTTACAAAGGGATAAAGATTCCTCACAGCCAAGTAAATCAATTTTTTCCATGATTCACAAATTTAAATTGCATTCCGACGTTCACCCCTTGTACATGATTAATTTAATATGCATGACTGATGAAATTAAGGAAAAAGTAGCGGAAAAAAAAAATAGAATACGTTTATCTACTGCAGTCATAAAAATTCAGAACACATTCGCAAAAAATCTATATCAACTGCTATCACTGACTCCCAAAAACGTCCCCCAGGGCTTCTGCTGTTCCTGCGGCCCAGATTCTCCATTTCCCATCCCCTGGAACTCGACAATGTCCACCGGTGGATCTGAATTTTCCCACAAGAGGTTTAGAGATGACACAAAGTCAATGGTAAAGCCCTCAGAGGGTGTTCAGTCACCCCGAGGCCCCTCGACAGCAAAGAAATACTCGAGACCCGTCGATCCCAACGAATGGAGTTTCATAGAGCTGAAGTACCCAGAGGTATCAATCGAAACTCCAACAAATCCTTCAGATCCCGATTTCAAAATGGATAACGAAATTCCCAAGGAAGTGGAACAGCCCCTCAGCGGTGAAATCCGGGGTATTAACCCAGGAAAATGGAGCAGAAATCGTTTGAATAGACTCCGCGGTATGTTAATGAAAAGTCACGTCAGGAATAATGAAAATGTACGTGATTCAGACAGACCCCCAGAGCCCAAACACCGAGTCACCACTCAGGGGCCCCCAGAAGAGATGACAACCCCATCAACCCAAAAAATCCCGATTATCACAAAAAACATCGAGACCTCCGTGTCCTTGCCGGCGCCCTCCCCCCGGGTGATAATCGACTACTTCAAGGTTCCACCCTCTCCCAGGAAATTCTCCCGCCAACTCCTCCATTATCCCCCGAATAAAAATAAACAGATAAAAAAATCAGGGGCTCCTGCACCCCAGGATTTCGCCATTTCCTTAACCGGAAAAATCCACGTGGACGGTGAGGAGAACGGGCCCCTCTCCATCGCCTTCGACCCTTCCCCAGGGGTAGATGTTGGATCGGATCTGAAGAAGGGCAGAAGAAGGTCGGTGGATCCTGATTTGCCGTATGAGATCATCAGAGCCCCTGATAAAGTCATTCGCTTTGAACCAGTGAAGAATCTCGTGTCCAACGAACTCCCGGAGAACGACTCTAACGATTTGGAGGTAGTTACGACAGCTCCTGACAGGATAAGGCCCTACGCCCTCCAGGAGGAGCCCAATCCTCCATTTTTAATATCGCGACAGAGACCCACGGAGAAGGTCCAGCCGGTGAATTTGAAAATAATAGGATTGATAAGCATGTCGAATCCTCCAGCGAGTGGAGTTCAGAGTTCGGAGGGAAAAAAGAAAGAGAGAGTTGGAGGACTGGTTCAAGTTGAAATGGAGAATCCATCGGGAAGTCAGTCCCAGGGGACGACGGAGGCAGCGGGACAGTGTCCCTTCACCAGTGGAACGACGACAAAAATGTTTCCCTCATCTACGAATCCCTCAGCTGATTCTCTGGAGACAATTACATTTTTCGTTGACGACAATGAGGAGCCGGAAACGTGTCCGTTTCAAGGAACTCCGACGGAGACCAGTCCCGACGAGGGTAGTCTCCTCGCTGTGATGGACTTCATCCACGAGGTGAAGAGTATTTTAATGGGAGAGACACATCCTGAGGATCCGGGGACTGTCGTCAAGCTCCAGAAGTTCGTGATAATTCCGGAGGACAACTCCACCGAGGGAGAACTCCTGGGAAAAATAAACACGGACAACTCGTCGACTCCAGGTCCGGGTCCGGGTTTTCATGCGATTGTGGAGAGTCCCAGGGAAACGTATATCAGAATTGTGGATAAACCGAAAAATGAGGGAGTGCAAGCACTTGAATCTCCACGGGGTGAATTAATCGATGAGCACCCAGAGAGGGGATACCCTGGAGGGCGTCAAGGAGACGAGGATACAGAGGAAAATTTTCACGGTAAATTCAACTGTAAAGGAATCGTCAAACAATTCACAGTTACACTGACGAGATGTAGATTCAATTATAATTGCATTCATAACGTCTGGAATCATAAATGGCTGGTGAAATAATTTCGTTTTTTTTCCTCTAGTGGATTCGTCGTCTCTGGATTCAGAGGACGATTTTGGAAATAACAGGGTGAGTGTCCGAGAGAGCGGAAGGAAACGACGAAGGCGGAGGAAAAAGAAGAAGAAGAAAAAAAAGAAGAAATGGTTCAAGAAGTGGTTTAAGAGAGAATTAATGAGCCTTGATGTGCAAGACGTTCTCGACGAAATCTATGACGAGAGGGATGACGACTACCGGATGAAGGGAAAACGGAGAAAACGAGAGATAAACACCAGTGGATTTCAGGTTCGCGGTGGACAGAATTGTATGGATCCCAGACACCCAGAAAACGTAAATCCAGCCAAATATCTCGAGTCAGCGCATTGTTTACGTTTCAGCGATTTATGGCAAGTGATTTATATAAAACGGATTTGCTCTTGGTTTTTGCGGGGGCGGCATATCGTCTGAGACGATTTATAAAAAGTCTGGAGGATTTTATTCGGTTCGATTTATCCCGGGTAAGACGATGTTTTTTCCATTAATTTTCAGGTATTCAGTTTATAAATTAGAGGCGCCTGTTATCGAACACGCGGTGTATATTCAGATATTCAAGAGAGATAATATGGAGTGGAGGGATTTGACCCGGGGCGAGATGATCAGGTGAGTGAATTAGAGAGGGAATTTTCTTGGGTAAAAATACCCCCGGGAAATGTAAAGGGGGTAGAAGAGTTAACAGTTGTTCCACGTCGTGTAACAAATGCCTGAAAATAGATTTACTATCGTTAACTTGTACTCGAAATTTCCCGAGGCTTTTTAACTCCTCTGGAGTCCCGCCCATTCAGCAGACACACCAGATACCCTTATCTATTCCCATACTGCCAGTTCAACTCCGAAGAGTAAAAATAAACCAGTGAATGCAACATAACAGACCAGAAACTTCATTTTCCAGATTAGGAACTTTTACGAGACATCAGAGGGATAAAATACCGACTATAACTTTCACGTATTCATCAAAAACATCAGCTGCAGAATTCAGTTTAAATTCAAATACCCAGAGGCTGTTGATTCCCCTCGAAAATACTGACAAAAAATCAGGTACTCAATTTTCCAACTGTCGATACTCGCGGGATAGATTTTTATTTTATATTTACAGATGAAAAAATCTCAGAGGGAATGAGGGAGTATCTGATAATTCCATCGAGCCAAATAACCAGCGAGGGACGAGAGTGTGACAAGGCTGGAGTTGGTTTTTCAGCTTTTGTCATGCAGAAAGATCGATGCACACGTAAACGCGGTAGTTGCCTCAGGAATCAGCCCCTTGAATACTGGCGTCACGATGTGGTACGCTCTTTTTTTTTTTCAATGTTTAAACTTGAAACGCTCGGGGGAATATTCAATGCTGGCGTGTATCGAATTTCTCAGCACCGGGTGAATAATTGTCATCTGACATTCGATGATACTCTGGCAGGTGCATCAAAGCCCCTAGCCATCAGTTTCGTATTGATCGCATTGGAGAATATCCGGTATTTGACATTATCAAATATTGAATTTTATTTTCCCATTCGCTAATTAATTCCCTCGAAATGACACCGAATTTGTATAAATTCGGGAATCAATGAAAAGCCTATTAGTTTCCATCGAGTTTTATTTGATGTGTGAATGATTTTTGCTGTAATTTTTTCTATTAATAATTAAATATGTAATGAGGCTAATTGATATTCTCTCAGAAAATAAGGAAATAACGGTTTGAATTAACCGATCCCAGCTGTTGGTTTCTCATGAGGCTAGGGGTATTGACCAAAGCTCGTGGTTTTGTTTATTACTAGAATGCCCATCGGTCTGGCAAGCCCGGCTGCTACTTCCTGAGCAATTTCGCTACGGTACCAGTCAATCCCATCAAGTACAACGTGACTGATGCCACTGAAGAACGAGAGTACCTCGGTCTTGTACAAAATAGCCATCACGTGTCTACCCTCGAGATTGAGGTCAGGGCTGATGACAATAACGTCATCACCACCGGGTATATTTTAATTCCACATACGAATTCATTTCAATACTCTGAATTCCATTTTAATTAAATTACACGAAAATAGAGAGATCCCCCATTTACCGAAATAACGTTTCATTAAATTAACCCGGGTCTGGAGTAGTCACTATTTTTACGACGATAATTTAATTAATTCTCGTTCTTTTTTTTCATGGAAACATGTGGAGTAATGCATTAAAAATCCAACAGATCAGCTCGAGTCACAGAGGTGCACGTTGTCGCAGCAGGTGAAAAAATAAATCTGTCAATCAGGCTAACGAACATGGGATTAGTGTCTTCGGATTATCAGGCACGTATCGTTGGTTGTCCAGAGGGATTACCAAACTCTTGGGCACGTGCAATCACGGGAAAACATCAAGTACCACCCCAGCACGATTCACTACTGACTCTACATCTCCCAGGTCGAATTATCATTGATAAATTTCAATGTAATGGTACGCCGAAATTCGAGAAATTTTTGTTATCCCATTACCCAAAAACTTCCCGGAAAATTACTCCACGAAAATGTATTCTCTGCGGATATTCGCGCCATAAATCTTGCCTTTTTTACAGCATTTTTTCCGTCTCTGATTGAAAAAATAGCGTGAAAAAAAGAGCAAACAATGAAATACATCGGATGGAATGATAAAAATCAAGCCATTTTTCTACGCAGTATTTCTGTTGGCCGTATATTTTTTTACCGTTGAAAAAAAAAATACAGTGAGTGGAATTCAGAAGTAAAAAAATCATAAAAAAAAAATCGATAATGCGATAGGAACGATATGAACCCGAAGTTACCAATCAGATGGCAAAATATAATTTCACCGCACAACAGTAGCCAATAATCTTTGAGAGCAATTTGCCCCTCAGCTCTGTGAACAATATTATGCTCACGTGAGTTTGTACACTGAGCTGGACGGCTAATATACGCTTGGATGAATGTTTGCAGTTGAAGTGATAAACTATCGTGGTGAGTTGGTGGCTGCTAGGAGGATCATAGTGCACAAGATGAATCGTTGTTTCTGCCTCTGGCACTGCATTTGCACGTGCTATGAAAGCTCTGGATTTTCATGCTCACCAATGACACCTGAGCATTACCATCAAGCTGGATTTCGTGGTCCAGTGCCAACAATCAATTCCCAAACTTTTCAATTATCCAAAATGGCCATCGACATTCTTATAATCATCATCATAATCTTCCTCATCTTCACGACAATCGGTAATTAATCCTCAATCTTATCATTGCCCGGGTCTGACACTAGTCGTTATTCAGGTATCATTAAGTGGATTATTGGAATTCTATCGCCACCGATTGGCCGATGGGGTCTCGATCATCTACTCGCTGGATTAAGAACCGAGGAATACTTCGAGCCTGAGCTTAAATGCAGGTGTGTCGTTACTGATGATGAGGGTATTCCCATTCATCCTGACACTGGCAGGCGAACAGTTCGAATTTGCAGTAGAACCCTCGAATTCATCGTCAATTCTCTATTCTTATTCATTTATCCGTGCTGTGTCCTCAGCGAGTCCATCAGTAAAATGATAAAATGCAAAAGATCGAGAATATCTGATGACAGTAAGGTGAATCCTTCATAGCGACCACTGAAACCCCCATTTTCTTCGATGTTTAATTAATTAAGTAATTAATTAATTCCAGGATTGTTTGATCGATAAGGACGAATGGCGGACGATATCCGTAAGATCCTACGGAGACACTAGAAATTCAAAGTTGGAGCGGGACGACACCGAGTACGTAATTACGGAGCTGAAAAAGTCTCAAGTGTCCCTTCAAGATTTTTCCAACAAGTCGAAGAATAAATCCTGAATTATTGCGGAATGTTTTCTAATTAGAATCATACAGTCACTTGTTTTTTAATGTATCCGCTTATTATTCAACGTTTTATAACCTGATTTTTTAATTAATAAAATAAACTCGAGTGATGATGGACAGTTATCTAATAAAGTCGAGGGGTAGATAATTCAAGCTGATGAATGTGCTTGAAGACATTTTGATACTGAGTGCCCTTGGACTTGTCGTGCTGCTGACTCTCGGTAATTTTCTGATAATGGAGTATTAAAAAACCTGAAACACTTTTATTTTGAGGAGTTGATCCTTGATTTTTTATGAATATTTAAAGACTTCTGCGATTGATGGGTTTTAAGGTGTTATCAAGTGGCTGATGGGATTCTGCGTGTCAGGATTGAGCCAGTGGGGATTGGATACACTCTTGGAGGGTACAAAAATTGACGAGTGCTATAACACACATTCCAGATGTAAATGTTTGGTGAATGGTGACAAAGAGAATTTAATTCATTCAAACTGTAGTCCACGCACGATCCGAATATGCAGCAGGTGGAATACTAATTTTTCTTCTCACTTTGAATGCACGTGAAAGTTCCGGACTATTACCAAAAATGAAAATTCTACACTATTTTCCCTTTTCCCTTGTAGAAAACTCGAGTTTTTACTTAATTTAGTTTTTTTCCTGACGTATCCAATCGCCGCCTGTGGCCAATGCACGAGGGCATGTTGTAAGAAAAAATCGAAAGCCTCAGCTGATGAATCCAAGGTAAATTTCCAATAACCAATCACCAATAATTTTCCTCCCCACGTGTTCTATCGATCAGATGAGTCTCATCACCAGTAAGAAGACTCACCCCAGGACAATATGCGTTCCCTCCTACGGAGAGTGCAAAAATTCAAAGCTCGAAGCTGAGGACACGAAGTACGTGGTCCAGGAGTTGAAAAATTCTGGTGAATCTCTCGACTCGAAAAAGAGACAAAACAAGAGAGTCCTAAAGCCCCGGAGGAGCGCCAGCTTATCAGGAAAATTATCTCGTCGGTTGAGAACAGAGAACAGACCGGAAGACTCTCTCATCTCAAAAATCATATCTCCCTCATACCGTAATTTTTTATTTCAGGGAAAACATCATCGGCCGAACGACTGGTAAATGATCTCCTGAGAAAAAGAATTGTCTTCAGGAATTTGAAAGAACCAATCGGTGAGCTCGATGTGCCAGCGGGTAAAATTTACTCATTGCGGGGATATTTCATGAACGCCGAGAATAATGGCTACAGATTTATCACTCCCTGCCCCTTCAAGCAGGTGAGCGCTCCTAATGACAATGAGAACTTCCAAAAAAACCGTTAATGCTGAGTAAATTGCGTAATTACCAATGCTAATGACAACGTACGAAAGACCTAAATGAAAAAAAAAACCTGACGCTTTCTCCAGAAATATTTGTTTCAAGAAAATTTCGAGAGAATCCCAATGGAAACCTACGAGAATATGTAGAGGACTGTTTTTTTACACATAATTTTTTTTTCAGCACTGGCTGATAGACGCTGACGATGCAGCCCAGCCCTGCTCTCCTCCCTCAGTACGTCAAAGCACACCTTTCACGAGGAATTTCAGAAATGCTAGAGAAGTTTACGAAAGCAACGAAATGTCACTCTTGCCCAGAGCTGTCTGCATAAATGTACGTTTTCCACCGTCTGACCTGAGTGAATAACGAGACAACAGAGCGATTTCTTTTATATTTTTATTAATATTTATGAGGACGCGCGTCCGGATGAATGAATTGACACCGGGAATGCCTGGGAGCCCCAGAGAAAGACCCTTTCACCTTTAAAATCATCTGATGACCGCATTCTCTCATTTTTAGTGGTACAAAACCACCTGTTTCACCCAACACTCCCCTATTTATAATTCCAGAGGAAAATCCTCGGTGTAGATCAGTTGAGAAATTCGACTCCTACCCAGCAAATATTAGATTAAAAAAAAAACAGAAATTAACTGTTTCCTTTGAAGATAATTTTTTCAGAATCTAAGTTCCTTTCGTATGGACCACTTCAATAATTCCTAGGAATGGACTGTTGTTTCGGATCAATGCAATACGAATTCTTCACCGTCAGCTATCGAAAATTCCAATGTAGAAACAAGTCGTTCCTCTTGCGGTTTGATAACCATCGACTAGCAGGTTTTCTCGGTTTCTCACGGACTCCATTCAGAGAAAACTACGAGAGAGGGAATGGCTCTGTATTTGTGCTAAAGGGCGGCAATGTGCATGTCCTCAGTATCAGTAACAACAAACTTCAAGTCAAAAGTGCCTCTCTAAAACCTCGTCGAATCCTCGGAGTCACGTTCGAGTGATAAATAAGAAAAGTACGATCGGTTGTGGCTTTCAATGTGCAATGCGTTTGGATTTGGAATTGGTTCTGAGGTGCTGCTGCATTGCTTGATCAATTCTTTTCCAATAGCTTTTAATTACACGAATGGGGATGATAAAAACAACTTTCTCGGAGAAATTCTATTGTGTTTCTATCGGCATTATCAAACTAGACGATACATAAATACGAAAATCCTAGATGAAGCCCTGGAGTCGAGGTAAAAATATTATCATTCTCATATTTTTTTTTCCACGTGAATTCTAGAAAAATTTTTCTCCAGAAGCCATGGAATGAATTGAGATTTCACAAATGACTCAGTCGCTTTAATCGACCCCTTCCCCGTGAGCTCCTCTCACCTGGCTTTTGATAAATTACCAAAGCGCAATAAACAATGTAGAAAAAGGCACGAAACCGTGGAGTTGGGGTATTGTACTCACACGAGGTGACGACGGGTGTTATTTGAACACTTAAAACAATGCCGACGAGTTTGTACGGTCACGAGGTAGGAATATGTGGTCAAAGAGCTCAAGCTATTGTTCCCAGTGTTAATCGTCATTGTCATGGAGCGTTGACAGAAGCTCCCATCCACCCTAGATCTCACCAGGCATTCTATTCAATCCCCTCTGCATTTTTCCGCAGCTCAGATTTAGGGAATAAAAGGCTTTTCATATAAAAAAAAAGCCCTTTCCCTTTGTTTCAACCGTTCTAAATAGATTTCCAAGCGTTTCGGGGGCTCATCGAAAATTTATTCCCTGGATTTGAAAATGTATCGGTGGAAAATGGATGGCTGACTGTTCGGCTAGCCAAGGCTCAATACTGTGGGCTCTGTCATCGTTCTCAATTATTTATATTACTGCAGTTGAAAATCGAGGGGTGAAAATCCTCCAATCACTTATTTATGGCGCATTATTTTATCAATTGGTAATGAATTCGAGGGCTTCTCATTCAGTAATTCCCCGTTATAATCTGGACTGACCAAGATAACCCCGAAGAACCTAATTCTCCTTGCCGCAACGAAATCTCTTCCGGTTAGCAGTATATACCGTGTGATTACCGTTATGTACCGGTGATAAAGATACTTTTTAGATATTTTTCTCTATCGGGCTCCTGTTTCAGGCACTCGTGGCTCGTTTCATTTTCTCATCTCCCACGGATCGTTTCTGGCAAATGCCGAGTTCGCCGGTGGAGGGAAAAAAAAAATTGAAAATAGGAGACAGAAAATATAAATGACACGAGTTCATTGGCTCGGTCTCAGGCACCCGAGAATCTCGTCTCGGTGACGACAAGTGGATAAACTTCTTTGTCACTCTCCCGGAATTATTCGAGATTTCAAATTAAATTTTTAATCAAGGAAGTTATCGCCGCCCCTCTGATACCAAGACCGATAGAGGTACAACTGCACGTTTTTTTTCCTTTTCATATTTGTTGAATTATTTTTTATAATCTCATAAATATAGAATTTATGAAGAAATTATTCAACCGGGAGAATAATTTCGGTTAATCGAAATCAAAATACATTTGCGGTGCACTGATTAAAAGATTTATGTAGATGCTTAGGGAATTCACTCACCCTGACTGCAGGTGGTAGAATTTTTTTGCTCTCGGTGAAGATGTCCTCCTCCCTGAGGGATTAATCAGTCCCTCTGACACCTCAGCAACTGAATCCCCCGAACACGCCTCCGCCGGGACCTCCAAGAAACCCGCAAAACCCTGAAAAAGTTTTCAACAATGTAACCCCACAAACATCGCTAAAAATACACCAGAAGCTAAATTGGAAGAAAAACAAGAACTGCAGTCATAACGCCATACCATCCACCGAAGCCTCATCACCACGAAATTGTGGTGCATGTTATCAAAATAATTCATTTGACCCCTGCCCCCACGATCCCCATCAAATTTTCTCATTAACTAATCCCCTCCCCCCAAAAGCTTTGTCTCATCTCAAACACCTCCAAGACTAAAAATCCCGGAAAATCCATTTTATCCCGACGAAAACCCCAAAATTATTATTAAAACATCAATTATCAATGTAATCCCCCTCCATTATCCCTTTTACCTGCATTCGAAACGAATTAATCAATTAACAACGCCAACGGGAGAATCGAAACGATAAGTGAAAAAAGGACGCCATGGCAATTTTCTCGTTGGAGGTGTTTATTTTACCGAAATTCGATCTGGATTATCTCACTTACAGTTTGAGAGGTCCTCGTGATCATCTTCGTCACTGTCAGGCACTTATTTAATTAATTTTCTCGGTTTAATCCTTTTTTTCTAACGACGCCACGTCCGCCCCCCGCCGCTTCACTTTCCTTTGTGATCCCTTCCCCCCCTCCCCCTGCGCGTTCCAAAAACCACAAAAACGCGCCATTTTCCCGCTCCCCCGCGCGCGCCGCTCTTTTGTCACAAGTCGCTCCATCATTTGATCGATTTAATCGACTTACCACGGACTACCGAAGATTCTCTGTCTTCCCAGAACGATTTTTTTGTGCAATTGGATCTTCGGATACGGTAAATCAGTAATTTTATCCCTCCAAGTATTCATTTTATCCCCTTCGCTGTTTTCTTTGTTGTCTGTCATCATTACCTCCTCCTTCCCCTCCCCCTTCCCCTCCTCCATTTTTCATTGTTATTTTTCTCTATTGGAATTACCTTCAGAAAAACTCAAAAGGGGTCTGTTTATATTTTTTTTTCAGACTCCAGACATTTTTATCTGGGGGACATCCCCACCACTCCCTGGAGCAGTCGTTCGAGTCGAGAGATAAAAGTCGAGTGATCGTTTAGTCGAGTCGATGGAGTGGGGCCTGCACACGTGGGGGTTCAGTGCTGGGGCCCGACTGTGGGCCAACGGTGTTACCTCAGTGTTAAAAAATCGTTTGTCGAGTGTGGACGTCGCGTTTTTGGTTTGCGCTGTGTTTTTCTTTTCATTTTTTTGTACTGGCGTCAATTAGAGGTGTTTTTGGATGTCGGGGAATGCTGGGGAGTGGAGGAAAATAATAATCCCAGAATAGACTGTCAGGAAGGCGAAATATTTGCCACCAGACGGCCAGGAGTCATCGATCCCAACGGGTTACGTGTTATTTATCGAAAATCAGTGACAATTGTTGTGTTATTAGTGGTTAGTGTTTTTGACGCGACGCCATTTTACGTCATCAGTTCTACGGATTTAAGAAACATAAATATCTGTGGATTCCCGGGGGTACGGGAATGGATGACGGAGTTGTTTACGGGATCTGGTGAGTTTTAATCGATATATTGGTTTAACAAATCAGGAATTATCGAAAGGGAGTCAATACTGATGTGGGAAACTGAGATTATGTTCGAGGTTTAATCGAGTTTCGGGGAATATCTGAAGATCTAAGCGAGATGATGGAATTTTGGTAGAGGGCTTTTATGTAGGTATCAATTAGCCATACAAAAAAGGTCATGACAAAAATTTCGATATCAGCTCTCAATTCCGAGGTATTCACAGAAAATAGACGCAGCAAAATTTCGCTGCATCAGTCTTCGCAGAATATCTCCGAATCGAAAGAAGATATCAAAATTACGGTAATAACCTTTTTTTTAGCTCTCAACGAGCCCTTCAAAAAAGGTCCTACTAAAAATTCCACTACCAGCCATGAATCCCGAGATATCTCCTAAAAACTGGATATCAATAAATTGATCCGCCGTACGAGGTTGCTGTTAAAAAAAAAATTGTTTCCCCGGGTTTATTGCCCCCTTTTTTATTCATCGACTCATGCAGCAGGTGAATAAATGCTGCAGGAGTGATGGATGTGCTAACACATGAGGCTAATGTTAGATGAAATATTCGAAAGGTAAACAAAGCAAGTGCAATGACAAAAGAAAAAAAACGAAGCACTTGGATTTCTTATCGGTGATATCAACGTATTTCACGTTCAAGGGAGGTTTTATCGGTTGAATGGCTACTCATTCAGAACAGCTGGACACACTGCCTGGACAGCTCCAGTGTTGTGAAGCAATCGTACACGTTGGGCCACTCCTCTCTGTACCATTCTCCCAGTACTTTAAACAATTGAGAATTGACGTGTACACGCTCAAGTATAACTTTAGGATCTAGAGAGGCTTGTACAATACGACGGAATAGACTCCTCTATCTGGTGAATGCACTTGTTGTGGAGTGTTCAGACATGCCCCAAGTTAAACCAGATACGTTAATGCTTTCCTTTGATTATTGCTAGTTGTGTGGTTTTATTCAAATGCCTGGGCATTTCAAATGCTTCACATTGCCCTGATCAAACTTCCCCAGAAGTTATCGTTACACAAGCATTCATGATCATTTTTCTTGTAGATTCGCTTGGAATTTATTGGAATTTCGTCATTGAAAATCCACAAAAAACCTCAGAAATTCAGGGATAATTTGAGTTCCATTATTATTCTTCTCATTTTTATTCCTAATCGATGTAGTTGGGATAAGGTTTCCCCAGGATCAAAGATTCCCTCGAAATTTCCCCAGGTCCTCAAAAAACGCCTGAAAATTCATCAGGCATTACGCCTTAAATAATTCACGAGCCCTTTTTTTTGAAAATCCCAATTTCCGAGAATTCCCAACATCTTCAAGTGCTGATTTCACAATTCTCTATCTCTCTTCTTCCTCTCCACTTTGTACTCAGCAAGGAAGAGTCAGGGGGTCCAGCATGTGTCGCAGAAGGGGCTCCTGGGGACCCACGCGTTGTAAAAAAAAAGTTAACTTTTCTTTTGATCCCTTGGCCCACTGCCGAGAATAATAAAATCCCCATTGCCATCTCCTTTTTCTCATTTACCGAAAAAAATCGACACTCCAGTACTTTCAGGAGTTGAAGACAAAGAGAAATCGAGAGGAATAAATGAGGAGTCGAGTGGTTCTATTATTGAAGATTTTTTTCATTTCGATAAAAAAAAAAATATAAAAAAATCCTCTCATTTGGAGAGGCCTCGACCCTTTATCGTTGGGACGGCCCTGGCATTCCTCGAAGATCCGTTCTCGGAAGTGAGAGCAAGACACTATACCCAGTGTCCTTTTTTCCCATTCATTATTCCTCATTTCTTTATTTCTCTTTAATTTCTCCTGAGATATCCCTTTCTCCTGGCATCAACGTCTTAATGAATCCAGGGCGCGGAGTAAGTCGGGGGTTCATTATAATATTATTTTCCATTCTTCAATTATTCTTCAATGTCGTGGAATTATTCGCTATTCCCCTTGTTTTCATTCAACGAGTGCCAGAGAATTTGAATAACATCTTCTTGAAATGGAAAACTCGGTCGAGGATAAATAAATGATTGGGAATATTGGCTGTCTCCACGTGGGTGCATTCAGCGAATGGGAAAAAAAATGGTGGAAAAAATTAATAGCGAGGAATTGAGAATCACGTGGAATAAACGTGGAAATACTCAGAGCATCGGATATTTGTATGAACTCACTCGACATCGAGTGAAACGTGTGGGTGACGCTTAAACCCTCTTAACCCTTCAATTGATCGCACGACCGATGCTTTAATCCGATTGTACGATCCCCTCTTTTCAGATGACGTGTGAAAAATAACCGAGTCAAATGTGAATTAAGAAGTGGGGGAATCCCCAAAATTGAATCGGAATTCAATACAAAAATCTTTTATCCAAAATTCGATCACTTCCTAATATTTTTAATTCTCCTGATACTCCAAGTAATATAATTTAACATGATCAAATCCCAATTCATTTTTTCATATTTCATTGAAATATGAAAATTTTACTGGTGAATCCCCCGATTTTTTCAATGGATTCATTGATTTTTGGAGGATTCGTCAATGGTGATTTTTATATTCCAGAAAAAATAGCAATTGATTTTGAAAGAAGTGAAAGTCCAATCCCATGCACTTCCATTGTTTGAAATACCGGTAGAATGTTGAAGTAATGATGGGAGAATTAAATCTATTTTTTCCCTTTCGTTTGAAGGAAAAATTGAAGTAACCACGCCAGCCAGTAAATTCAGTTCCACTATATTAACTCTATTAACTACCCGACACACCTGTAGCCAGTAATCCCCAACGGCTGCAAGAAAGACGATATCATTGGTGTATGTATCTCACCAGACCAGATCCACTCCTGTGATACACAGGATGATGCTTTGACTGTGTGCACAGTTTTCTGTGCAATAACACAGGATGTCTATGAGAGAAAAACCATCGACAAAGGAAGCATTGAAAAAGTCAATGAAAAAGAATCTTCTCGAGCATCATACGGGCTATTTATTAGTGCGTGAAATGCTTTTCTGGGTTTCAATCCGATGAATTATTATTTTTTTTTTCAATCGGCCAGAGTAAACCGGTGAAGATCACTGCCTCCAGCTTCCGGTCCACTCTTTACATTATTTATCTGTTTTTTATCATTGAAAAACATAACGGAGAAACAAGTCTATTCACTTGATTAATTAGTTATCTCTTTATATCTCATAATTTATGAGATATTCATAAATTTTTGCAATTACCTTTTTTGTAGCTCTTATTAAACTCTACAAAAAAGGTTTTACGGAAAATTTTCCTATCCCTCGCGGATTCAGAAATAGATGTAAATTTCATTAAAAAAATTTCCAATACTGTAATTATTAATTGAGAAAAGTCCCATGTCATCGGTAAAATCCCTAAAAAACCGGGCTGAATCCAAATGAATTTTTTTTTCCCTTCTCCGTCATTATCGCGGATTCGCGGTACTCGTCTAATTACCAGAGCCCCTCCCCACAATTGTGTGATCATGAACAGAGTTGAAATAATTTTAATTGTTCCCCGGTCGTGCGTCTGAAATAAACCAGTGCCATATTTCAAATTGCCATATGCTGAAAACAATGACGACCGGAATGAGCTTCCAGCAATTTCCACCTCGTTACCACCGTCTAATGCCGTACATAATTGTAAATGATGCGTTTGAACGGACTTTTCTGGTTTTTCTGGTGTTTCTCTGTTCATTCTGCTTTTTCACTTCTCCCCCTGTTTTCCTGCACCACGATATGTACAAGGAAACAATTTTTTTCCAATCTCGCTGTACGCGTGGGTGAGACCCCATTTACAAAACACGACCGATCGATCGATCCCACCTTTAATACACGCCGAACCTACGCATTTGCCTTTTTTATTACACCAACGCATGAACGAGATGCGTCTTGACATGTACAGGTTTTTTATTATATATTTTTAATGAGCTGACCTGAAACGAAACAATTAACGTCCTACTGAGTCTAAATGTATAAATGAAAAATCGGAGAATTCAGGAAAAATCGGTTTGGGGTGGGTGGCGTGTTGGGACTCCGGTTTTGTGAATAAACACCTGATTTATTGGATAAGTCTCGGGTAGATTCAGGACTCGCAGTATAATCCCCAGTGGATTTCTCGTACAGATATACACGAATATATTCTAAAAGTAGCTGAATTCGAGCTGGGGGATCGTTACGTTGTGAGAGGCCGCGTGGGAATGGTCTGAGGGTCAGTATTGGCTCTTATATCCGAAGCTCTACATTTACCACACAAATCACCCACAAGACTTTATTCAATTTCATTCAATTTCACCCGTACGTAACACATTACCCGGTGCATTGAATTCTCATTCTGCCCGTGAATTTCATCCGTGGTATGTCCAAAAATGGTGGTGAAGTTGACCGAAAAATTTGACCAACGGTATACTTCACATTTATTTTTCCATTCATCTCATTAAAATTCATGACACGCGGTGAAACCACGTATCATCGGATTATCGCCGGAAACGTGGTACACAGGAAATCGATTTTTAAGTCATGCGGAAGCTCGATTGAAGGATTTTAAAACAACTCCGTGCGTAATAAAAGCACCAAAAGCAATAAAAACTAGAAAGCAAATTGACTGAATGCTCCACGAGACAAGGTGAGGCTGAGAAAAAAAATTCAATTTCTTTTCTCTCTGTTTCAGAGGACAGAAAAAAAATGTGATCGAAAGCTCTCGACTAGGCAAAGATGACCGATGAGGGTGTACACCACGTACGCCTGGGGCGCTCGAGACTCCTTCAAAAAGAAGAACTGATGTACGGTGAAGCGGTTTACCATCAAAAACCAATCGTCGAGCGTCACAGGTTGACCCCAAGGCGTATCGATTCACCCCGTCACCCTGAGACCCTCTCACACGCGAACAATGGAGTTACTCGTCGTCAACCAAAACCCCGCATCAAGTACCAAAGACAGACACCGGCCCAGTACTCAAGCAGCGATGAGAGTGCTCCAAGGCTTCCAAACAAATCCAAGAGCACTAGCTCAATAGACACCCAATCAGTAAACAACATTCTCGACGAATTCGAGGATTTGGATGGCAGTGGTACATCAAACTCCAGCATAAGCGTCACAAACTTCGAATCAATGATGAATAATCGTAGGAAGCAGCGAGCCGAGAGACAAATAATCAAGGTTAATCAGCAGACACAGGTGCGCCAGAGATCGAGAGACAGAGGTGTACCAAAGAGTCCAGATAAACCATCGCCAGCGATTAAACAGGTTCCCGAAATTTTGCTGCGAAAGGGTGAAGTACAAAAACGAGTTGACGAGTGGTTGATACAGAGTCAGACGCAGCAAACACCAACACCCCGTGTTTCCCTGACAAGATCGACAAGCAGTGCAGATCAAAAAAGAAAATTGATATCACCTGAGGCACGTCTCAACGGTACAACAAGCTGTGATGATTTAAATTGTGAGCAGAAGACTGATCAGAAGGTCAGTGTGAGCGTTGGGGTGAATACAGGGCCTCTTGGTGGCAGTAATTACCGAGAGTATCCAAGAAATCGGATGAAAATTGATAATGACACTGGTGCTGGGAACTTAATGACCTCGAGAATACCACAGAGACAGGGAATTGATAAAAATTCACGGATTAAGTACAAGCAGAGCAACGGTGGAAGGCTGACCTCGAGGCATTCGTTTAAACGTACACGTAGTGGTGATCGTACGATGCCAAATAAGGCGGGTGAAAGTAGACCTGCAAGGCAGAATAAGGTGGAAGAAATTGTCCAGAGAGTTGAGACAGCTAAAATACCAGTGGATACTGATGACAATAATTCGAGAAGACCACCAGCACCACCTAGGAGAAATCACAGATCAGATTTGAGTAGTTGCTCAAGCTTCAAGCCTAACAAGACAACAGCTAGTGCTCCCCATTACGCCAGAGATGTTGAAAAGATTTACGAGATGTCACTGAGGCCTGAGGTCATTCATGCTGATGATCTCAGGGCTGTACTGGAGCCGAGTGCTAAATCATCGGCTTATGGGGAGAGCTCTCGTGATGATTCGGTAACTGATGATTTTGGAAAAATTTATCCCGACATTGGATTGGATCAGTGCATCAGAATTCAGAGGAGATTACCAAAGAACTCGACTTTCGATAGGCGTGATTTTGATGGTGGAGCCAGAGACAAGGGTACAGATGAGAGTGAACCGACTTATGAGACACTCGAGAATGTTTTGAAGGATTCCTACGAGGCCATGAGCACCTTGAAGCTCGACAGACATCTCGCTGATATGGAACAGATGAAACTCGAGGTCAAAGGGAATGATGTAATACAGAAGGCAGTGAGTGAGGAAAATATGGGTGGGGATGGGGTCGGTGAGGTACATAATGTCTCCGATAGTGAGACAAAGGTATCCGTTAATGAAGTACTTGTGAAGAACTTGTGTTTTCATCAAGATATACCCTCGGATAGTAGGAGTGAAACATTCAGACCCGTGGGTGTTACCAGTTACCAGAAACCATTTAATTTTAACAGTGTTCTTAGTGATGATTACGAAGCTCGGGTTAGAGAAGCTTCCAACATGCTGGAGTGCAAAATTTATGTTACCAAAGAGGAGATGGAGCGGCAGAGGCTTATGGATTTGCTGAGGAAACGGGATTATGAGGCTGTTAAACTGGTGAGTCCTTGAAATCCTCTTGTATTTTTAGTTTTAAATAACAATGAGCCCGCGAAGTGGCTGTTACCTCGAGGAATTCATCACTCCATTTTTTTAATTCTTACCGACAATTTCATCAAATCCCAAAAATTTCTTATCAATGCAAATGAAAATCCGAAAGCTCTGGAAATATCGTGAAATCACGGGAAAGTTTCAATTCGCAATATATTCTTTCGGAAAAAAAAAATCATCAATTTCAATAGATTCAGAGTCACTGGACCAAGACGAATGCACATGCAGGAAACTTGCGTTAGCCCAAACTTCCTGAGGTAACTCCACCTTTCCAAACTTGAGAATTAACACGAATATGATAAAATAGTGTTATCTCCTTATTCCACTCAACTGCGGCTATCACCCAAAACTAGAACTTGGGAATAACGAAAATTCGTTATGTGGGTGGTGTAAAAGATGGATGAAGTGCAGAAAAGAGAGAGTAAAAAAAAAAATGAAAATAGCGTTGAAGAGAAAAAATGAAGTGGCGAGGGTGTGGGTGCAATTTATGATTCAGCCAGGGTATGTCCGAGACGAGGGGCATTAGGTATTCTGTACGTAGTGCGCTTTAGCGCACAAGAAAAGCTACAATAAATCGTAGTACGCGCCTCAAGCACCGAAACCCTCTGGGATAAAAGATATCC